TATTAACCGTGGTTGCACTGTCGTGACTTTTGCAGGTCGCTACCCGCTGCATCGCAGAGCGACGCCCGTCAGCGGCACACGCCGTCAGAACGATTACCTGGGACGGTACAAGTTTAATAAATCCTGTGTTACAGTTACCACCCGATTGTGAGAACTAAACCGCAGCACGGCGGGGTGTGCGATTGCCAGAGAAGCAGTGCGTCTATAAATTATTGCTAATTTTACGCTATCATTGCGTTATTACTGCGATTAACCCGCGCGGGGCTGGGGTCTCCAGCCGAACGCGCGGGGCTGGGGGGGGGGGGTAAATTTTACCCCCCCCCCCCTGTTATCTCCCGAACTAATGGTCCGATTTGGAAAATACAAACGCCAATCGAAAGCTCTCATCACGAACTACTAAAAACATGTACTTAATTTAAAGTTTGAGGTCAAGGTCAAGGTCAGGTCAAGGGTACAAATTGCAAGTTTCTACAGTATGGGCCTTGCACCGTAGTTGCCGAAGAATGGAGTCATGGACTGAGACTGATCGCCCAAAACGTGTTCTTAGGCTACCAAGACAATATTCGCTGCATACAATATCATTCAGAGGTCAAGGTCAAGGTCAGGTCAGGTCAGGTCAGGTCACCAAAAAACAAAATATAGAAAAGGGCATGTGCGACACATGTTTTATGGGTCATTTTACTCATAGAATTCAATAGGCACACTCAATAAGTGATATGGACCACCTCTGGATGAATTTCAGGTCGAGGTCAGGTCAAGGTCAGGTCAAGTGAGGTCAAATTTTGAAGTTGGTTGTTAAGGCCTAAAAAGGTGTCTATCTGATGCAGTTTTTCACGGCGAATCGAATGGTGCTATTTTTGTTTCCGTACGAGGTCTAGAACTTCCAAAAAAGTCATTTTTCAAGAAATTTGTGTGTCGTGACGTCATAAAATTTTGAATAACTCCCACATTTTTGAACCGATTCTTCTAAAATTTGGTATGTAGGTGCACATAGACCACTTCTCTGACATATATTCCGGTTTTTTCGATAGACTCAAAAGTTTGGATTTTATAATGATTTTCCCAAAAAAGTCAGTTTTTTTGAAAAAAAAATTTAGGCCAAAATCCAAAATTTTCAAAAAACCGAGATAGCCATTTGATAGACAAAGTAAAATTACGTATAACCTTTTTTGTTACGTCTTGATTCCTTTAAAAATGAAGATGTTAGCGGCGTTTGAACTTTTGCCGTTTTTGAGGCGAAAATGGCGAACATGACGTCACTAAAACGTCAATTTCTCAAAAATTTTCCGACGGATTTCGCTCAAATTTTCAGGGAACATGTCAAATTGATGTAAGAAAAGGTACTGAAAGTTTGGCGGCGCTGCGCGCCGCCGTTTTTGAGATATCGCAAAAATTCGCGAGGAGGGGTAAAATTTACCCCCCAGCCCCGCGCGGGTTAACCCCCGGGGGGGATTGATGCACCCCCCCCTAAGGTTTTTCGCAAATAACGTAAGAACGGCGGCGCGTAGCGACGCCAAATTTGGCATACCCTCTGGGTCAACATTTTCGCACCTTTCCTGAAAATTTGAAGGCCCAGTCTTTTCAGGTCAGGTCACCAGGTCACAAAATCCGGTACAAGGTCAGGGGAAAATTGGACTAGCTTAGCGGCAACTGAATTCCAGAAATCATTCAAATTGGTAACAAAATATATCATTCGATGCGCACGGACGTCCTGAGTTCACTGGTGCTTTTAATTTTGCTCTATCTTTACTAGGTAAAAAGTTATAAGTGAAAAACTGACATTTTAGCAAAATTGTTGCACTCATACCCCCAAAACCCCCCTAAATATTGACTTAGAGTCACCAAACTTTCACAGGGGTGAGATCTTCTATGGACCCACCTACCCTGTAAATTTGGCGTTTCTAAGTGCCATAGGAGCCAATCGCGAGGGGGGGGGTTCGTACCAACCCTCCCCCTCGCCGTCCGTGTTATGGTCGACTTATGGAAAAGGCCCTCGCCTGGCGAGGGTTAAGTTATATTGCAATTATGATACAAATAGGTTACTTAATTATTTGTGGAAGAAAAGCAGGTAACTGCTATGGAATCAGTCGGCTGGCGGATTTGTACAATTGTAGTTCGTAGGCATTCCATTTTCTTCCTTGGTTTTCTTCGCATAAATTATTTTGCCTGCCATCTCTTTTATCTTTGCTCTAAGCCGTGCACTTGTTTCATTTTTAAAACTGGGTGCCTGGCTATTATTATAACACCATTTAATTGTAATAAAGCCGAGGTCATTTGCTCCTCCTCAGCGTCGTGTTTTATGTTATGTCACCCTTTACATGACATGCAAGTGAGACGTACTTCATAGCGCACACAACTACATCGACGCCTGGACAAAAAGACGCTTATGAAAATCACATCGGCCCGACAGCAGTACCTAACATGTAGCTTTGGGCCGTGTCCGAGGCAACTCGCTCCAGCTCGAGCTCTCACCGTTGTGCCTGTATGTTGGGACGAAGACACCATTGCGAATGCATGACAACGGCAAGACTCCAAGGCATTCCCGAGGTTATGTAGGCTGGACATTGATTTTTTGCCTCAAAGAAGAGTGCACTTGCACTGCGCACAAGCCTCATTCGGAGTAACCACTTCGATATGCGCGTGCATCTCTTAGGCAAACTCAGAAGTAAATATTGTTTTTCTTAAAGGGACCCTCCCACCTTCAAGAAAGTTTATGAATTGGCATGAAAGTGATGTCGCTCGGTTCAGAAAGAGCGAAAACGAATATCTACCACATTTCACCGAAAAATATTCACCGGTTTTCAAGATATTAGACTTTTACTTTTGTTTACTTTTTTTGGGACCTCCGCTGTTTCTAGCGACTTTATTTTAGAAGTGCGGCGTTTGCGGCAGATGTTGCGCGCAAATAGCATATACCACCGCGTGCTACAAAACGTTTTAGTCAAACATTTAAAAATCGTTAGATATTTGCGCTGACGTCACACATTCAGAGGGGTATACCTAAGCATTAGCCCCTCTGAATCAAAATGCTGCAATTTTGAAATTCAATATTTCCGATTTAAGGCATTTCTCGATGTTGCGAGTGCCGAAACCGGTAATTGTGAGCCAGGGACCCCATTTTGGCTATCTCAACTCAAATCTAATGTTAAGGTGGGAGGGTCCCTTTAAGAATTAACCCCATATCAGTGCTTCATGTTTTTATATCACAACGACCAACCTAGTTCGCCGGAGCTGAGGCCAAAACATTCCCGGAATGTCATTGATAATCTCGCGCCCGAGTTCGGTGTCGCCCCGCCCGCGAGTCAGCTCCCCAGAACCGGTTACCTCTCCGAGTGTGACCAGGGCACCGACCGGTCACCCATTCTGACTCTGACCACCGAACAGCGGACCCAGTCACCCAGACCATTAACAATTTACGACAGTTTTTACGGCGCGACCTCGCCTGTCCAGCCGGCACTGAATTTCCGTCAATTAGATGCCACATGTAACACATATGAATTTACGGCCCTACAAATGTAGATAATTATCGCAGCGTGATAAAAAGCCATCGGGCCGAGTGGTGGCTAATGCGTTTAATTCCGAAATGCATCGGCCACCGGACGGGCCGGAAGGACGCCCCTCGCTCGCCGATGGGGCACTCCGGTCGCTCCCGTCCAGCCCCGGGGCAACCGCATATGTAAATGTCGCCATAAAATGGGACCACGCCAGCGGCCGTGCACGCGAAAAGGTGGCGGCCTCCGCGCCCAACCGTTATAAAGCCCCGGTTGATTTAGGTAGGTTGAAGAATGATTACACGCTTGTCATTCAAAAAAGTTAAAACGAACTGTATGATAAGAAATGTAGAGACAGGCAGTGATAGACAAAGGTACAACAAATCGTTTTCAATTATCCACCATCGTAAGTCGCAATGAAAGATAACAGCCCACAGCATGTCGTATTCCATTATCCATATCCGACTTGTCGATCATTTCATACAATGACTCACCTGATTGTGTTACGTAATCGCATTGAAGCAGCGCCAGTTTTAAGGAATGAAGCCGTTTATAACGGCCCACAGGTGGAGAATTGTGACCAGCTGGGGGTGCTCGGGCGCAGCAAATCCGCCGCCGCCTAGCGGTGACCTTGACCCGCGCCGCCCGGCCGCGGCTCCAAAGCCAAGCCGGCGTGGAATTGGGAGAGCTCGAGCACCCCCAGTCCAGCACAATTCTCCACCCGCGTGACGGCACCAAACGCCATCATGACTTGGAATCATTAAATATAAATCGTCCTGAAAAATGGGGCGAGTCAGATAGGCATGGCCAAACATATAATTCAGGAACTGATCGACTATGCATGAAGAGCATTGATAAAGCCATACCATTAGAGGCAATCGCATGACTGTTGTATAGGTATTTTGCTTACCCGCCGCTGAGAGAAGAGCTTTTACGCTACGGATAACATGCAAGCGAAAAGTGACGAAAACCGTCTGCATCTACTCACCTACAAGAGAGCAATCGCCGCGCTCAGCCAGCCGTGGTACGGTACGGGAGGCAGTTGCTACTGTACACGAACCCCAAGTCTAACCGTCTGTCCTGTCCAGTAACAACCGATGACATTGATATCGACTGCCGGTCCCTGTACAAGAGCAGCTGAGGTTTTCTGTGCGTGCCCTCTAACAGCTTATCATTGTTCACTGTGAGGGTGTTGGGATAATTTACTCAGGGTCGCTGTACAGTAGCCACTGCGGGTCCCCGTACATACCTATATCGGTGTAGCAACGATGGTGGCCAGTCATCTGGCCGCTACCCGCGCGGTCCACACTGCCGCAAACGTTTAAAGCCAAACCGCTGAGGAAAGGTAAGCATTGAAATAATTCCAGCAGAATTGTCATATTTTCCACGGTCTCTAGATTATAACACAAGTCTCAAAAGTAAATAAAATAGTCTTATGGGTTCAAAATATAGGTACCGGAAATCCGTCAAGGTGCGTGTCGCGAGCCGAATCTCGTAAAAAAAACTGAATCAAATGATACAAGTAACAATGTATTCGTGTCAGCGTAGCACAAAATGTCCGCTCACTTTCGTATCGATCCGCAACAGTACATACAAACTTTGCGCCAAACGGCCGCCATTTTTCCCGCCTTCTAATGGTCGCGGCGAGCGGGCTATCATCAACAAACAACAGGCTTCAGACTCCATCAAAACATGGCACCACTGTTGTACCGCAGTTTGTAGAAAACGTGTCTCGGATTCGAAGGCTCCGACTAACTATGAACGTGTCAAGTCCGTCGCTAAAACCCAATGAGTGGGAGGGATACTCGCCCTGCGAGGTGCGTATCGAACAATATGGCGGCAGAGGTAGGAACGGGCTCCGCCGCGATACTGGCGCCACCTATACTGAGTCGACGAGGGCGCCACCTATAGCATCCCACCTGACGTGAAACTTAACGTGCATCGTTCCGATCACAATCACTCTCGCGCCGTGTACGATTGCTTGACGAAGACTCTCAGCCAGTGACTTGGCCCGGCTAGGCAGGGCCGTTCCTACTGATATGTGCAGTCTCATCACCCAGCCCACATCCATAAGAGACACCGCCGTAACAATCACCAGCTTCTGTAGCAAACACCAGCCTTTCTGACTCAGCCCTCACCACAGCACCTTCGCACATGCATCAGACATCAACTGTTTGAACGAAACCTGGACCTGACCTGGCAGCACACCATAAATCGCCAGACTACAGCTAGCCTTCCAGCCCGACCTGACATGACCTGATTGCAGCGCCACACCAGTACCCGAGCAGCAAGGCACACGCGTTCTCAGCCACCAGCCAGCCATACCGTCACGGTCGGCCGGACCAGAAGGCCGCGACGGCAGTGATCGAGAGAGCAGCTGACGCCTCAACCGGTCGGTGGGAGAAGCTCTAGTTGACGTCCCCGCCGCCAGAGACGATCTCCATCTCGGCATCCTCGACGGTGAAGAGCCGCGAGCACTCGTCCAGGGTCATCTGTAACATGAGGGGCAGTCAGGACGGTAACATAGACAGAGATGGCAAAGCAAATTGGCAGCCTTTAAATGGGCTTGACAGTGCAATAAAAAGGGGAGGAGAGGGGAAATGTGTACATACTCCGTGGCGTTGAAAACCAACTTCCAGAAAATCAGCCATCCGTCCTTGCCTTGTTCAGGACCAACCTATTCGCACCCCCCCCCCCCCTATTATTCCTTTGTCCTGGCTGGCTGTCATCCCCACCAGACAACCGTGGTGGGGACAAATCCTCTTCGAAGTGACCGTTTGAGCGGCAACGAGGGCTGTCCCATCGGGGCATTCACATTCCACCGGGACAGTTTTCTGCCGCTGCGGCGCACCGTCGGTGGTCCGGACAGCCCAATGTCTATAACCTATCCCCATAGCAATGCAATAGCCTTTTCTGGCCGAAAGAGCTTGCTTCCAACAAAAGACGAAATTAATTATCCGCTATTTCTAGATTGAAATTATCTAGAAGCTTGGCATGACACAAAATTGTAGAAGAAATCCGGCTAATTTCATCCTCAAATCTCACCACATCCTGATACGCCATCCTGTCTTCCCAGTCATCCAAGAACTCAGCTCTTCAAGTGCTCTTATGGCCCTGTCCATCCCCCTCCCTCCCCCCAGCTCAGCCGCTCCCCCACGCACCTGAGCGCTGGTGGTACGTCGGCACATCTCTCCCCCCCCCCAGCTCCACCCCTCTCCCAAGCACCTGAGCGCTGGTGGTACGTCGGAATATCCTCCCCCCCCCCCCAGCTCCGCCCCTACCCGACGCACCTGAGCGCTGGTGGTACGTCGGAACATCCTGCCCCTCCCCCCCCCCCGCCCCACGCACCTGAGCGCTGGTGGTACGTCGACATCCTCCCCCTCCCCCCAGCTCCGCCCCTACCCGACGCACCTGAGCGCTGGTGGTACAGGTCTCGCGGGTTTTAAGGGTAGGTTTTGCCTTTCCGGCTATATCTTTTTCGTCTTCAGCTTTGTAGGCTTAAAGATGTGACCGATTTATTCGTATAGCTCCCTACCATGATCATGGAAAAAGGTTTGATCGTATGCCGGCTAGTTTCGGAGAAATTTACAGAAAACCTCAAAATCTGCCGTTTGGGGCATTCTGACCGCGGCTTCCCTGCAGTCGCCTATGACTACAGTGGTGCCACCCAACGAGTAGGACGCTGAAACATAGAGGCATGAATGAATCCAGCGCGTGGTGAACGGTGGATAGAGACGGGACTCGGCAGAGGCTATCACTGCGGCCCGCCGCGCAGGGCGTCCTTGGACAGCGGCCGAGCCCTCGGGCGGTGAGGCCAGAGGTCACGAGAGCCCGGCGCTATTTGGCGCACATGAAGGGGAGGCGCTCGCCTCAGCCTTGTTACTCAGCCGGTGTGGTGGTGTGGGGGGGGGGGGGACGGCAGGCAGGAGGGGCTAGAACGAACGGGATGGTGGTTTAGGTTTAAAATAGATTGGAAATGTCGTGCCATGGTCAGCTTAAATTATTTTTACCTAATAAACATTTATTAGCATTACGAAAGAACCCACCATATTTTTAGAAATATAAAAGAAATGCTATTTTCGATGTTACCGTTTACTTTTAATGGAATTCAAACCCTACCTCTTACTAGGGGTGATAAAATAAACCCCTCTCCTCAGTTTTTCCTGAATAACTGGCGTAGTAGAAAGTGGCGGATAGCTGCGAAGCTTTCAGTGCCGTAAGTTATTTTTTTACCATAAGTAAATAGATATCCATGCGGTCAGGAGTCAGGATAAGTTCAGGCCATCCGCAATTTGATATTTTACACCTACCCTGAAAATTTAATGACCCTGACCAAAATGGTCATTGGTCTGTGACCACTTTTTAGAGCCCATTATGTTTAGGCCAGAATGGATATTCGGCGTGTCAGGTCTCATTACCCCGGCGGCCGCTGGGCCTCCGCGCCACCCGCCGGCCGCTGGGGGGGAGGGGGGCAACAGTTGCCCCCTTTTACTTCTGCGACGATATCGTCGCAAAATGAAGAGATGAGAAGAGAAACTTTGCACACATCTTCCTGAATACCTATAACCGAGGTTGTGTTCCAATTTGGTGTCAATCCCATGTGAAATGACACGCCAAGTTTTGCTAAGTTTCACGTTCGTAACTCATCAGTCATCAGGTTTCGGAGATATTCCACAAAACGTAAAGGGGGGAGCAACTTTATGCCCCCCCCCCCTCCCAGCGGCTCGTGGGTTAACCGCTCATTTCTAGACTCGTGAAATTAGAAACGTCCTAACATGTGAAATAATGTTTGGTCCCCTGTGGCTTACTTGGCCGGTGCCTTCAGGACTGTTTAAAAGGGACCCTCCCACCTTAACATTAGTTTTGAGTTGAGACAGCCAAGTTTGCGGCCAGGCTCAGAAACCACCATTTATCCTGGTCGCAACCCCCGCAGCTTTATGGTGTTCAAGAAATTTCTTCCCTTTACTTGCAGGGTGGGACCAGCGTGGTCCCTATCTCTTAACCATTACGGGAATCTGATGACGTCATCAGGCTTTCGAACGTCCGTTAAATGTTTGACTAAAACGTTTTGTAGCACGCGGTGGTATATGCTGCTTTGCGCGCAACAAATGCCGCACTTTCAAATAAAGTCGCTAGGAGCAGCGGAGATCCCAAAAAGTAAACAAAAGTAAAAGTATAATATCTTGAAAACCGGTGAATATTTTTCGATGAAATTTGGTAGGTATTCGTTTTTGCTCTTTCTGAACCGAGCGACATCACTTTCATGCCAATTCATTAACTTTTTTGAAGGTGGGAGGGTCCCTTTAACTACAAATTTGCCGATCTGCTGAGCGCATGGAGCCGATCTAGCCAGGTTTATAACCACGGGGTGACATTGCGGCACAGTCAATCGTCAAGGTTTCCACGCCCCCAGAATATCCGCAGTTTAGCTGCCGGGTCACATGGCCTAAAGGCGAGGTCATTAGCGATAGAAATGGAAATACGTTGAACAGGCTAGCTGTGAGAAGGATTAAGATTCATTTTAGTTTCGTGTATTGTCGCATAAATACATATACCGACCGTTTTCTAAGAAGGCTAATTTATCTCTCTCTCTCTCTCTCTCTCTCTCTCTCTCTCTCTCTCTCTCTCTCTCTCTCTCTCTCTCTCTCTCTCTCTCTCTCTCTCTCTCTCTCTCTCTCTCTCTCTCTCTCTCTCTCTCTCTCTCTCTCTCTCTCTCTCTCTCTCTCTCTCTCTCTCTCTCTCTCTCTCTCTCTCTCTCTCTCTCTCCTCTCTCTCTCTCTCTCTCTCTCTCTCTCTCTCTCTCTCTCTCTCTCTCTCTCTCTCTCTCTCTCTCTCTCTCTCTCTCTCTCTCTCTCTCTCTCTCTCTCTCTCTCTCTCTCTCTCTCTCTCTCTCTCTCTCTCTCTCTCTCTCTCTCTCTCTCTCTCTCTCTCTCTCTCTCTCTCTCTCTCTCTCTCTCTCTCTCTCTCTCTCTCTCTCTCTCTCTCTCTCTCTCTCTCTCTCTCTCTCTCTCTCTCTCTCTCTCTCTCTCTCTCTCTCTCTCTCTCTCTCTCTCTCTCTCTCTCTCTCTCTCTCTCTCTCTCTCTCTCTCTCTCTCTCTCTCTCTCTCTCTCTCTCTCTCTCTCTCTCTCTCTCTCTCTCTCTCTCTCTCTCTCTCTCTCTCTCTCTCTCTCTCTCTCTCTCTCTCTCTCTCTCTCTCTCTCTCTCTCTCTCTCTCTCTCTCTCTCTCTCTCTCTCTCTCTCTCTCTCTCTCTCTCTCTCTCTCTCTCTCTCCCTCCCTCCCTCTATCTCTCTCTCTCTCTCTCTCTCTCATACCGAAAGCACCATAAAAGCTCACAACACGCTCTTCTAGGCAGGTCTCGATCGATCCTTCCGACTTTTGGGTAATTAACCTGACTTGGAAGGTCAACGTATGACCTATGGTTATCGATTGACGTATGATTAAAAAATTGGGTATCATCGGCTTCCTCTCGTCACGTGCAACATGTTCCTTCTTTTCATGAAGCTCTAGTTTGATCAGAAGCCGATCAACTGTGAGGTCTGATCCACCCCGCCCATACGTTAACGCCTGCGAGAACACCAATATGGGTGCGAGTTATGGAATATTCCATTTTATTTTTTGCTTTTGTAGCGGCTCACATTGTTTTTGTTCTAATAATAACCGAAAAAACAACAGATAACAGTGATGTGCAGACTCAAACGTTTACGCCTAGTTTCTTTTTGAAAGTGATGTAATTTCATTCATACAACATAACTATTTCTTGGTCAGTTTTGTGACAAAGTTTTCAAAATATAGTGCAGCAGAAAACAAAACTTTGGTGTGAAACGACCTCCAGTCTCAGCAGGTCACGGTTAAATGACAGAACTGTTCCCATGAAATAGGCAATAGCATTACAGTCGTCTCCCGGCCTCCATGGTAAGCGGCTAAAACTTTGGACGACTATGGATCGGCACGCTGTCGGCTCACCCCGCCCGCTGGCTACTGGTGGCCTTGACCGTTCAATGCCGATTGGCCAACGCACGGCCGAGGTCGTGCGCTGGTCAGCACGCAGAGAGGACAGGACGCGGTACTGCACATTGTGAGTGACCTCTGACCTTTCCCCGTCCCCTGACCGCATGCCGTGTCGCCAGCCCAGACGACAGAAACCGGTTCTAGCCTCAACGCAGGCTGCCACTCTAACCCTCCCCTCCCCACTTTACTATGTGTCGTAGTACGCACTCGCGAGTAACTGGGCGGAGCAAATGGTCACCGATACAGAGGCGGAACTGGTTGCCCTCCCGGTCGCCGAGCCACCTACCGCTAAAACCCGCGAGACCTGTACGTCGGAACATCCTGCCCCTCCCCCCCCCGCCCCACGCACCAAGCGCTGGTGGTACGTCGGAGCATCCTGCACCCTGCCGTCCAGCCCGCCCCACGCACCTGGGCGCTGGTGGTACGTCGGAACATCCTGCCACTCGAGTCGTCATTGCTGTCGGCTGCGGCCGAGTCGGGCGCGTCCCAGAGCTCTCCCAGCTCGGTCATCTGACTGCGCAACCACTGGATGGCCCAGAGCCAGCGCTCGGTGGCTGATAGGAGGCGGGCCTTCAGGCCGCCGCTGCGCGCCGCCGCGGACACCAGGAACTTGATACACTGGTAGGCGCGCCGCGAGTTGGCGCCGGACGTCAGACGGATCATACCTGTGGGAGGGGTAAGAGAGCTGAGCCACGGGCGTAATTGTGAAAAGAGCGATGGATTTGTCGGCATTAGCAATTACATTTTAAGGCTCAAGCCACCTTTTTTAATTAAGTGATTAAGGACTCTAAATTTCTTCAAGTAAATGCTAGCCAGTATCCTCATATCTTCTTTTTGTAGATGTCACATAATGTGCACACTAATTAGTCCCCGACGAAAGCAAAATCGTCTCTCTAGATCCTCCGAGGTTCAATGTCCGTTTTTTGTTCATTTAAACCAAGTATCACAACGTCCATTGTCCGGAAGGTCCAAGGCCAAATGTGCCAAAATGATAACCGCTCGCGCTTGCTTTGTCCAAAAGTCATAATCGCCAAAAATGTTAAAACGGATAGGTCGGTCGGCATATTCGAAGTAAAATGACATACACGCTCGATCAATCAAATTTTGTTGTAAAATAAAACTTACAAACTATCTTTCTAAACGTACATTTCGATATCCGGACCCCACAGCATAAGACCAGCATATCCCACTCCGTCCCTTCTCCAAGCTCCGTACCGCCTTCCACACTTACCCAGCATGCCCTCGACGGGCTCTGCCGGCTCCTGGGCGGGAACTCCCTCCAGTATGATATCGAGCCGCTGCCTCTGACAGCTGTCCTCCAGTGAGACCAGCTCGCCCAGTGTCAGACTCAGGTGGCGCAGCTCGTTACACGGAATGGAGCCGAAACTCCGCTGAAACGGCAGGCAAAGCGGTGGTGTGGGAACTGCACGCGGCCGGCACCGAAAACGGTACAGGTGTACGGAGTGTTTCAGAGAAATTATCAGCAATTATCAGCATTCTTTTTTGAAGGAAATATACAAGGGTCGCATACCTTCAATCAAATCTTCGACTGAAAATTTAAAACTTGCGGGGAAAACACCCCTGTAACATGACACCCCACTTCAAAGGTACGATCCTGCCAGGATTCGAACCTGGAATCTTCTGATCCGTAGTCAGACGCGTTATCCATTGCGCCACAGGACCGGAGTGCCAGGTGAGAACCGAAACCCGTTCTTTACAGGTGAGGCCCAATCAGGACTGGCATCGCAACGTCCAACTTCCTACTACTATGTCTAAAATGTGCTCGTGAAGACGCTAGTCAGGTTCTACGAATGAATGGCGAGCGCGAGCAACACTCGAGAAAAATAAAAAGAAACTAGACAATATTAATTAGAGAGCAGAAAGGTCCCTGGTCCGGCTGTCACTAAAAGTCTCAAATGAAATGCTGAACGAACCTTTTCAGTACCCCCCCCCCCCCCCACTCAATCCTTTGAACGCCATCCAACCATTACTTAAGTCCCCGTCCCTCTCTCCTCCCCCGTCACTCACCATGATGGCAGTGACGAGCCGCTCGCTGAAGCGGCGCTGCTCCCGACTGGCGGTCACCAGGAGCCGCACCACCAGCTCCGGTCTCCAGCTGGTGTCTCTGAGCGCCGTGAGCACTTCACGCACATAGTCGTCGGCCCGCGGGCCGTACAGCAGGCCCTCGGGCGTCTCCACGGCGGCCGAGGCCGCGTCGACGCGAGGGGGGAGCGGCGTGGCCGGCCGCTCGGCGGCGGGGTCCTCAGAGGACAGCGGCGAGGAGGGCAGGGAGGACAGCGGCGAGGACGGGTCCACCGGCAGCGGCGCCGGGAGTCGGGCGAGCACCAGCCGAGCCAGCAGGGAGTGCAGGTCGCCCAGCTGCCGGGTCTGCGAGACGGTCCAGCGGGGCGCGGCGCCGGCCGGGCCGAGCAGGAACGAGACCAGGCGCGGGAACAGGTCCAGCGACAGCAGGTGGTCGCACTGCGCCGAGCCCTGTGACAAAGACAGACATGGAGGCGGGTCAGAGGCGCAGAGATGCGCAAAAAAATTAATTACGGAGCGAGCGAAGCGAGCGTAGTCTTTCCTTAGATTAACGGAAATTTCTGAGTATGAGCGGCCGGCCGGCCGTGGTCACGATTCTGCGACGCTTATATCTCAGCAACCACTTGACCGATTTACATGCGGTAATTTTTGTAGGGTAGCTTCATTCCTTCTACCAAGTATTGGACTATTGCCGATGCATGTGGGTGACCCCTTATGCACGTGCCACGTGCAAAACTAAGAGGTGTCACTTTTGTAATTGTTGCAATATCTCGGTAACTACTTGGCCGATTGCGCTGAAAGTTGGCATGTAGGTAGGCACCCACTAGGCAATGCATATCCATGTGCCAGAGTTGGGGTGCTGCTGCACGTGCGCACGTGCAGGGGTCGATTCCAGATCTCGAGAACGGCTGGACCGATGGCGCTCAAATTTGGCACATGGTTAGGGACCGGTTAGTAGGGTGCCGTGCAAAACTCAGTTGGGACCCATTTTGCACGTGCGCACGTGCAGGGTGCCGCTTCCAGATCTCGAGAACGGCTGGGCCGATTGTGCTCAAATTTGGCACATCGCTAGAGACCGGTTAGTAGGGTGCCGTGCACAAGTCAGCTGGAGGTACCTCGTCGAAATTTCGCACGTGCAAGGCTCACCCTCTCGCTCGCTCCTTTAGTCGCCCCAAAAGGCGTTATACTGGTCCTACCACTTCTACTCTCGGTCATACAGGACATCTCATAAATATGATGCTGCGAAGCATCAGAAGACATTTTAGCTTCGACATTTCGTAGCTAAGATGTCCCCTAAAACAAGAAAAACAGCAACAACAACACAACCAGCGCTAACAACTATTACCCAACCCCAAATCAAACAGCCCACAATATCCTCCCAGCCCATTCGAACCGTCCTGGCGTCCCGTACCATGTTGGCGTACTCTAGCAGCAGGGAGAAGTACTGCGAGCACGTGCGTATACTGTCGGGGAAGTGTTTCTCCACCAGAGCGCTGAGGAGCTCCCGAACGTCCCTGTCCTCCTGTGGACGGGGTGGAAAAGGGATGTCAGCTAAAAGTCGTGGATGTAAAATGAAAAGGACTCAGGAGCGAGTACTGAAGAGTGAAGATATTGGGCACGCATTCGGCCGACATCGCCCCTGGCGGCAGGCCAGCCACATAATACATGGACAGCACATGGTATAACTATACATTCAGTACAGAGCACGTCTGTTAGAAAAGGTCATTTAGCGAGAGCACTGAGTGAAGGCACCTCCGAGGACTACCAGTAATATGTAGATCAAGCTGCGAGTCGATACCGTCATATGTTGAAGCCCACCACCCGCGTCGGTCGGTATTCGGTACTCACCGCCGTTCCGCCGTGGTAGCCGTGCGCCTTCAGCGCGATCATGATCAGCTGAGTGAAGTCGGAGCGCACGGACGAGTTGTCGCACACCAACAGGTACGGCCTGCCAAATTAGAGGGGATACTCAGACACCTGTGAGGCAGCAGGCGAGATCCCTAAATTACTATGAAAACGGAAAAAACAGTCTGCATTTGCTAGAAGTCAGAAAAACCCTAAACAAGCTCGCTAAGATCAGCTGCAATGTATCGATGAGTGATATTCAAAGCGAAGCATCACTACATCATCCACATTAAATTTATAAACCATAAGTCCCGCATCCCACTACAATGCCCCGTCCGTTTGCCCACACACCAACCCCACCCTACTCTCCCCACTGTCGGCCTCACCGGAAGTTTTTCTGCCCCTCGTCTCCGGCCAGGAAGCGCAGCATCCAGGCGGCGGCGGCGGGCTGTCGGTCGGCCAGCTCCCGGACCGTGGTCAGCCACCGCACTGTATCACGTGCAGAGCGGCGCCGAGAGCGCAGGTACGTGTGTAGCAGGAAGTTGACTGCTAGGCTGATGGAGGGCACCGCCAGCGACGGGTTCGGGTTGTTCTGTGGACGGTATGGAGAAATATGGAGACAGTTATCAAAACCTGGGGTCGATTTTAGGGAGGTGGCAAGTGTGGATCAAGCAAACATTTACATAAACAATGACAGAAATTTCGCAAAAGTAAAATAGCACGAAACAGAAACGCGGAGGAAGACGTTGAGGTATGATGGCCGCAAAAATGGTAGGGCGAACTTACGATATTGCACGTGACGAGGTCGTACACGAAGGTGAAGTACTCGTCGCTGTAGATCTCCCTGTTCTGCAGAAACTTTAGGTTCGTATCACGAACAACCTGCAGGCAGCAAAGGAGATGATTTTGTCGTAAGCAGACAGAAGCATTCAAAGAAAATGTTGCACATCGATTCCAACAGATTGCACCTCGATGGTTGACGGTCATCTTACTTTTGGCCAGAGAACAGACTAAATTGTTCTTGAATTCTCCCCGCTACAGGTGCAGTACCGATTCCACTGGTTTCGAACAGTTCAGTCCCGTCAGCTCCTATCTGTATGAGCTCACCTGGTGTATTGCCGAGGGCATGTGGTCGGGAAACAGTTCCGTCTCGTCTCCCCGCTGTACCAGCTCCGTCAGCTGGCACAGACTGTCCTCGTTCCTTCGGCTCATCGGCCGGCTGAGGGTCACACGGAGGAAAAGTCAACTCCAGTCCAGACGGTATTTGGGGATGTTGAACAAAATGAAACGAACACTAGAATGGTCTCTACACATAGCGACCGTTGATATTAAGGTTCACAAAGAAATGCTCCTGCCGCCTGCTGTTACTCTTCCAACGCTTGGCATGCGTACCACAATTCATTTCATTCCACCATCCCCACCCCCACTCGCACCCACCTGTTCTGCCGCTGCGACACCCTGCTGGCCGACATGCTCTTCCTGGGCGTGCGCGGCGTCTTGAGCCGGTCGTTGACCTGCTCGTAGAAGAGCATGTAGCCGTTCCAGTAGCGGAGTCGGGTCTCGGGCAGCGCCTCGGCAGGACCTGGGTGGCAGGCGCGTGGTGCGGTGAGAGGGAGAGTGAAATTATCCGCGGGGAGGGGGGAGGGAGCTCGCGATGTGCAGACACGGAGACAAGCGGGACAGCTGAGCTGTTAAAGGATAACTTATGCTGGTTATGAAATAATTGCGCACGGAAAGATAACGAAAATGGCGTGTCCCACAACAAAAACAGACGGGACAGTGAAGTGGCGAGACGGGTCATAATCAACGATAACTCGTATAGGTGCTACACGAAAACTAATAGGTATATAGTAAAATCACATAAAAAACAGCTGCAACTGCTTGCGGCACTTGAATACTAAGCAGTAAACACTGAATACCGCAACCATATGCAGTTTCGCCCCAGTAATTCCTCCCGGCGCCACTGCAGCAGCCCATTCTTTACTCACCCCATTTGGACTTTGCTGAGTCTGAGACCTTGACCTTGTAGGTGCCGCCGAAGCACTCCTGCTCGAGGAACTCGTCCGTCATCTCGACCGGCTCCACGGTGGTGTCGTTGAACTTGTACCACTTGCCCTTGTTCGGATTCGACAGAGACGAGCCCCTGCACAAGGTGCGGCCGGGGAATGGTCAGAAAATCGGCTAGTTGTTGACTGCATCACCACGCAAAACCAGCTGGCCATGTAACACTTGACTGTTACCAGAAAGCACGCACCTTGGCAAAGATAAAACAGAAAGATACTTTTTATACGGAGAAGCATGAGGTCTACCAAGATCTGCGCCAAGATCTGACGACTGCATCACACCTCGCTGCACCTCGAAAATGAAACTGGCGGATCTCATCCGAACACGACACGACTCTTTGCATTCAATATCCACCCGAACTCTGAACCCCCAACCGTCAAACGTCCTCCCCATTCCCAATTACTGTGAATATCTCAGTCTCTCAACCACCAGATCTGAAGCCAACAGACCACCCAGATCTGAATAATGAATATCCCGCTACCCACCTGCGGTCCTTGACATAGCTGTAGTAGTGTCCGGCGCTGGCCTGGCCGCTGTGCACCACCACTCCCACCAACTCGTACATCATGGGCGGCGGCTTCTGCGCCGTCTGTCGGCTGGTGGAGCGGCGCGCGTCTCCAGAGCCGGAGGGCGGCGCCGGGGCCGCCTGGGCCGCCGTCACCCCGTCCTCCGTGTACGGACCCATGTCGAGCGAGAACGGAAACTGAGGGAGGGAGGGAGGGAGGGAGTCATGGGTTAGGAGCGCGGCGATACATGCAGATTATATGACAAAGTGCAATCAATGGCAAATCCCTTGAATATGAGTTCACTTCGTATAGCCGCTGTCCATAAATAGGATAAATGAGACATCACGCAACCAGCCAAACATTAGAGCGTGCCCTGATCGCCACCACCCGAAAAACGGACGCACCTTGAAGTACTCGTCAAACTTGATCGAGTGTCCGGCCAGCCAGTCGTAGCCGAAGCGCTTCAGCTGAATGACCAGTACGGGCGGCAGCGACTTGATTAGGGTCCGCTTCACGGCCTCGCGCTGAGAGTCAGTTCAAAGGTTAGATGTCATTAGAACCTTTTTGGGAGCAACTGAGGACTGAGGAGGGACGATTTGAGAGGCAAGCGACTTTATTATGAGATAGCATCATAATACACTGAACTATCAACACGAAAACTAAGCAGTTGATGAAATTACATTCAATCGCAATAAAATTTTCGCTATTTAATTTTGACACGGTACCGAATATCAACAATAAGCTACATTTCCAATACAGCGGTTCATCCATTCTCCCAAAATGTGAGGATGGACAAAACATAATAACATCAGCTGAAGCTGGCCCACCTTTTTGCCGCACTTGTCACAGAAGTACGAGTTGTCTCCGTCCATGATTTCCTCTCTCACGAACTGTTGTAGCGACTCTTGCAGTGTGCCAGACTTGACAGCCAGGTTCAGCGCGTTAAATGTCTCCTCACGCTCGTACCTGGACGAAAAGAACCATATTTTTACCCAGTGCAGTATAAAATGTTAGTGAACTGATAGGCACTGCAGACGATGTCGTGCCCGTATTCATAAGAACACATTCGAATTTCTACTATTAAAGCGAATGTACGGAGCGGAAATTAGCATATGTAAATGAGAGACAATTCGTTACATAATTGTTTTGATCGTGAGACAACACTTCACATCACATCCCTCAGGTTATACTGTTCTGTCCTGACTTCTCACTGTTACCTGTGCGGGCAGTCTTTGCAGATTTTCTGGTCGCTGAACTTGCCCTCAAACACCTGCTGGAAGACGGGTTCACGGCCAATGGCTCGCAGCTGCTCGTCCACCTGGTCCAACAGATTCGTGAAGAACTCGTACGCGTCTAAGGAGGGACACAGAAAGCGGTCGGGAAGGAGTCAGAGGTAAGTTGTATGACGCCGAGGCAAAAAATGAAACAAGCAGCTTTGGAAACCTATACCTTCAACATCACAATGCATCATTGTCTCGTGAACTATGAGATGTTACAGCAAACAAAACTGTCAGCGACGCGGCCTAAGTGCACACACTTTATAGTGTCAAACTCTGGATATAATCTGATGACACTTCTGGACCGAAGATATTCGTACTAAACTTTGACAGGCAGACTGCAGTCCTGGCATCATGCAATCAGCAGCAGTCATCGTCGAGTGTTGACAACGATCATCTGTACTGACCCACACGATCCATCCACCGCTCGTCAACTCAGGCCGACCAGACCGCCGCGTGTCATACCCTGCTGTTCTCGGACGTTGATGGGCTGACCGCGCAGTCTGAACACGGTCCAGAATCTCTCCGGGGAGAAGTACTGCAGCTTCAGCTCCAGGAGGTGGCCAAACACCATCTGAACCTGACACAGCTCACTGGGGACGGAGAGGGAAACGGGGTAATTAGAGGGGATGATAAAAACACGGTGTGTACTTGACAGAGTAAGCTGTGTCCGGAGGGCAGCCTGGAACACTGTCCCGCTCTGAGGGCATATGTCTTAAAGGGCTTCAGATTCCCTCTGATCCCGGGCCAGCAGCTGCTGGTCTGCTCCCACATCCCCACCTATAGCTACATGGCATCAGCGACATTGCATCGTCCCCACTCTCTTCTTCAGTCATAAGGCGGCATTGTCTCCAGCTCCCCACCAGCTGCTGCCCTCACGTCTGATCTGGGTGCCCTTCCAAATTCCGTCCTAAGTGAGAACCAATAACTAAATGTGTGACCTTCTCCTTCATCCTCACCTGTCCTCGGTGATTTGGTCGTCCTGCACTCCGAGCACGGCCTCCCTCAGTCCGGGGACCATGTACAGCTGCTGCAGCACAGAGTTCATGTAGCACGTGGCGCCGGCGTTCCGCAGGCCCACGTAGTTGCACGCGGCCCGGCCGTCCAGCGGAGGCGCGTACTGGCGACGGAATAGGCGCATCTTAATTAAGTGTCGAATTCAGTAAGATGCAAGCTAAAGCTTCGCTCAAATGTGCATATGGCAAATACTACATGTAGAAAGACTATAGAAAGAGATCGGTCAAGTAACCGAAGTTATTGAACAATAAAACATAGACCTGTGTACACAAAGGTGTACTGAGATCTCTAATTAAAAATGGGCGTAATCTTACGTCGAACTCCTTGGACAGTTCCCCGTTGAAGGTGTGGTGTCTCTCCACCAGCTGGAGACAGATCAGCTCCAGGTTCTCCCGGCAGTCATTACACAGCTCAACAAACAGTCTGCAGGGGAGGGATAATTGTTAGTTGACAGCGGGAGTACACAACGAAGAGAGACATTCACTGCAGCAAAACATCATGTAACCTCAAGCCTCAAAACAAACAGTATGCCACAGGGTTGTAGACTCTCCCTACCTGTAGGCGGCCGTGCGTGAGGAGGCGCCCTGGCAGCGCGGCAGTGATACGGGCGAGCAGTCGGAGCCCTGCCGCCGGGAGGCCGGGAACAGGAAGTCGTCCAGCAGCGTGCCAATCAGGTGACCGCCTGACGAAGGGGGCACAGAGGCGAACGTCAGACTGGCAGGCTTAGGGTGTAATCGGGACATTTAATTATATCGAAGAGACGAATAGATTGAAAGAATTACAATATGTGAAGCTAATCTACCATCAGTCTTCATCATACCCCTCGAAAACCCTTTCCGCAGCACCATCACCGACAAGCGCCTAGTCTGACCCGACCCGTCGCCCCGACCTACCGACAGTCAGTCTGCTGGCACCGTGACAGGTGACCAGCGTCCTCTCCCTGACCCTAACCCTCCCCTGACCTACCGACAGTCAGCCTGCTGGCGCCGTGGCAGGTGACCAGCGCCCGCACCAGGTCCAGATGTCCAGCCAGCAGCACGTCGTCGGCCGGCCAGCCGCCGGTGCCGCCGCTGTCGTAGCTCGGCGAAGGACTGAAGTTCTGCAGCCAGCCGATCTCGTCCTCGGCCATGGAGGAGGCGCTGACACCGAGACGCGATTGGTCCACCACTGGGGGAGGAATAGCGATGGGTTACTTGGAGACCTGATACCTGACTATTAACTAATGATAGAACACTTTGAGCAAACAGCAACTGAGCCTATAAGCAGACAAAACCTGCAATGCCCTCGGTGAAATACAGGAAAACAGCTGATACGATTTTGCTAAAAACGGTGGTTGTAATGACAAAAACAAGTAACAACGACAGTTTTTACTGTATAAAAATCCTTGGCATTACTTTGCCTGTTGCTCAACACTGCAAACCACATCGTTTTCAACTGTACCCTAGGTAACACAGTCTGACCCCAGTTACTGCAATGCTGACATAATTACACACCCATTCCCCAAAGTATGAGCACATGATCCACTCACTGCTGAGATCGGTGAGTAGGTGGGCTCGCAGCGCGAAGTACTGGGCAGACTGCGCCAGAAGGCGCTGGCTGCCGGCTCGGGAGGAGCCAGAGGGAACCCAGAGAGGCACCCGGGTCTTCAGCACCACCTGATAGAGGGCGAAACGAGAGGTCAGCTGGGGATTCTGCACCAGCGAAATATTCTGGTAGACAGAACTTGGTGAAATGTCTTCTGGAGCCAACACGAAGCATATTTCGCGATCCGTTAGAAGTAGACAGCTTGATTCCATGCATTCAGGTCAGCTCCGGAAAATGGAAAACACTAAAACTTCGGCAGAAATGGTTCTGCGCTAGAAGTGACTAACCCGCGCACCGACGGGGGGGGGGCGGATATCCGCCCCCCTGAGGTTTTTCGCGAATAGCGGGAAAACCGCGGCGCGTAGCGCCGCGAAATTTGGTATGACTATAACCTCATTAATTTTACACATGGTGTGCAAGTTTGAACCTCCTACCTTTTAAGGTCAGGTCACCAGGTCACTTTGAATGACCCAACCTCAAGTCACTTTTTTGCAACTTTGTCACCGTGCCAGAGCTACAGTAGATGTCGGAGGCCTTTGAAAGTCGCAGGATATTATAAGGTCATTAGTAGCTACAATTTGTATATCTCGGAATTTTGATATCGGTGACCTAAGGTCAGGTCAATTTCGCGACCTCCCCATTATAAGTCAATGGGGGAAAAATCAACTCCCTGTTTTTACCACTAAAACGGGTCGGAATGGCCCCATATACCATACATGACTTCATATACGATCAACCTTCACTACCTTGAGGTCTGTTTTGCTGTTGGGCAGCTGTGAGGTCATGTGACGTCATCAAAGGTCACCAAAGGTTTTTGGCTAATAACTCCGTACAGGAACAAGATACAGACGCGTGGATGGTCTCATTGTGTTCAGCTCGTCAAGACGCATCGAATGACATACATGATAACCTCGAGGTCACGTGACCTGAGGTCAACCTTTGACCTTGACCTTTCGAGGTCAACATATATATCATTCGATGCGGATTGACGAGAGGATCACGATGATGCCCTTAGTTTGGTCCTATCTTGACTAATTCGAAAGTTATTCGAGAAAAACTCTCTCCATATCTAGCGCCGCCATTTTGACTTTTTCGACCCCTGTGACGTCATCTTTGACCTGACCTGAAAATGACCTTAGTAAAAATTGTAGATCTTGGCCGTGCGTATCCGATGCCGTTTACCGCTTGTCGCTATCTTGCTTCGTTCTCGAGATCTCAGGGGGGGCGGTCATCCGCCCCCCCCCCCTCCCGTCGGTGCGAAGTTGGCGCAGACCCCCGTCGGTGCGCGGGTTAATACTTACCGCCGACAGTCATGTGTTACGATCAGAACAGTTCCCTAGTTACTGATTTACAATGGGAATTCTTTCATGATTGACCTAGCGTGTGACGAGACCTCCAGTCACTGACCTGAGTGAGAAAGTCTCTCGGTGACGGTGACACCTCCGGCGCCGACAGCTGACTGAGCAGTAACAGCTGATCGGTCATCACCTGCCGCACCTCCGCCTCAGGAGAACCCAGCAGGATGTCCACGATACATTCTCGGACGTAAGGGAGCCCGTACAGATAACCTGGGGGACGGGACAGGGGTTAAATACCGTGCAAACAGAATGGGATGCCATGACATCCCACAATACACTCTCAAAATACAGGACTGCACTGAACTGCAGTGACCACTTCCGGAACGTTCGGTAAACCGTTGCTTCCCTTAACAATTTTGGCCAGGAACCTTCTCAAAATCATCGCTAAATTAAGTAGGAACCTCAAATAACGTACCAACGTAGGAACTATTTACTGTATTAGCATTTAGAGCAGACTAACAGTCCACCCGTTCCCCGCCGCCGGGTCACCCACCGAGCGCCTCGGGTCGATTCTGCAGACAGGTGACCATCAGCTGGAGCGCCAGCCGAGCCACCAGCGTGTCGTTCTCAGAGAGGTCACTCTGCTGGGCACACAGGCCCGCGTGCAGGCCGCCGCTGTCGCTCTCACTGGCGCTGCTTGTCGTAGAGCCTGGTGCGGAGAGGGGAGGGGGAGGGGTAAGACGAGAGAAAACGCAGCAATCAAGGTCAAGGACAGGCCGAATATTACGGCCATGACTAAACAATGGCCAAAAGACGGGGAGGATTAAAGACGGACGAAACGAAAAAACGGACAAACGTCAAAGCCCCAAATCTCACAAATCCTTGTCGTTTGAGTCCGGCAATAACATAGGTACATCATGTAATTCGAGATGCCCTAAAAAAAATCCTCCTAAAAGACTTCATTATCCCCGCGTCCTCACCGTTACTGCTGTGTCTGGGCCGCTCGCTGATGAAGAACTCGACCGGCGAGCGTTTCTCCCTGTTGGCTACTGCGGTACCCTGGGCGAGCCGGCCGGCCGCCGCCGACCAGGCCAGTCGCAGCAGGCAGGAGACCGTCTCGTTAAACACTGGCGACGGCAGACTCTGTGGGCGGGACGGACAGCTGAGCTGTGGAGGGGTTTATACTAAATGGGTACAGCTGGGATTATAGGTTGTCACATAGATGGACTGAAACAAATGAACCAACTTTATCTCATGATGTTGTCAATGGATGGCCAATGGCCATCCGCCCATTCCTACACTAGTTCCCCTGACGCTCTTCTCACCTGTACAGTGTCCAGAGAGGCGTTAACTGACGAGTCCAGAGCCGACTTCTTGGCCGGAGTCGGCTTTGTGATAGGCGAGGACTGGGGCGCCCGGGTCAGGTCGGGTCGGTCGCACAGCAGAAACCTGCGAGCAGCAGAAGAATTGTAACGTTAAACGGGACGTGACAGCGGGGTCAGTGGAGCACACATGCTGGCTTCGTATTTTACTTACTGACATCATTGGAAGTTGTGCATCTACATCTCGAGAATGCCGCTGGAATGATTGCGCTCAAATTTGGTACACTCTTAGCGACCGATGAGCAGTGTGCCGGGAAAACTCAGTTTGGATCCAGTTTGCATGTGCACACGTGCAGGAAGACGTGCAGGAGGACGCTTCCACATCCACATCTTGAGAACGCCTGGGCCAATGGCGCTCAAATTCGGCACCCCGCAAAAGACCGGTAAGTAGGGTGCCGTGCACAAGTCAGTTGATATTACCCCTTGCACTAGCGCAAGCGCAGGGCTCACACTCGCGCTCGCTCGTTTCTGGTCCCCAAAAGGCGTCTTACTGGTACATAATAGAAACGGACTTAGGTCACACTTTTGTTGAATTAACTTCATATGGGACTCTAAATACCATCCACTTTATTCTCATATAGGACTTCATAAAGGACTTTAAATACCATCCACTTTATTTTTCAGAGGTCTATAAATTGTGTGTACCTTTCTTTGCCAGAAGCCCTTCGCTAATCATTTACTTTTCTCGTCACTACTCCCTGAGCTGTCGCCGTAGAACCGCTCTCTTACCATGCTTTCTTTTGAATTCTGCAAAAATAATAAGGTAACCGGCTTAGAAGGACGACTGTTTTCGTTCTCAAGTGTCGCCAGAATGGCGCCACACCCTGTGGGTGCGACGCAAAGCTGGAGTTTCATCAGACGGCCCAGATGTTGGGTTGCAGAGTAGCTGATATTTCTGAAGGTCGGCTCCCACTGCCCGATACGAGCCCAGATCCGGGTACTACCGTTCGGAACACTGCTGCGCACATATGCTCCTTTATAGAAGCCTTGTGTGAACGGAACTCAGAGGCCGATGAAGCCTCATGTGCTCCTACTGTATCAGTAAGCAATATGCCTGACTGCGATTTTTATACTGCCCTCATTAATCAATTTCATCACCGGTAATCGGCCAAGCAAAATGTATAAAAGCAGGACAAGTAGCGATCCTGCAATAGTATCTACTTACTCTTCTTTCCCCTCCTGCCTCGAGTTCCCTCTGACAGCAAGTGGACACGGGTCTGGTGATATCCTCCCCTCTCTTTTCTGACACCTCCCTACACCCCTTTCTTCTGCAAGGTCGTGGACACGGGTCTGATGCTGTCCCTCCGACCAAGACCCCCGTGGTCGCCTCTGTCCGTCCTCTGACCCCACACAACCCTCACCTGGCGATCTGCAGTGTGAGCAGGTAGATCTGCTGCTGCACCAGCCACTGGTCGTCGCCGGGCGGCGGCTCCCGTCTCAGCACGGCCACCACCTCTGTCAGACCGCCGTGCTCAAGGAACGCGCGGCAGAAGGTGCGGGCAGACTCGGCCGCACCGCCCTCGGCCCGGCACGGCATCAGTTTACCGGACAGCACCTGCAGAAAAAGGGAAACGGGAGGGGGAGAGTGGTTACTGCGCTGGATCGTGAGGCTGTCATCACTGAAAAGCAACAGCAACAGGAAGTGATGACCTGAATAGAAAGGATGCTATTGACAAAATATGTTCTGTACGAAAGTCAACTGCGAAACTCTTTGAATTTCTCAAGTCCATTACCTTGTCCTCTCAGAAATACAAATAACCTGATTAGCCCACAGACAACGAGCTTATCTTTGCCGAATTCCATTCTCCTCCCACCAGTTCTCTGACCTCCAGGTTATAGACGAGTCTCAGCCCAGTCGCCGGGTTCGGTCCTCCTCCCAGCATCTGATGGACCAACTCCTCGGGCCGAGCGCCGGCGGCCGGCCGGTCGGGCGGCGCGCAGAGCGTCTCCAGGGCGTCCGACACCGCCGGCTCGGTGGGAACCAGGTGGAGTATCGCCCGCGCGCCGGCCGTGATGGCCGCGTCCCGCAGCTCCGCCAAGCGACACAGCGTGCCGAAGGTGCCGCCGGCCGCCATCACCACGCCGGGCAGGGAGCGCTCGGAGGTGACGTCCGCGGAAGAGGCGCCGGCGGCCGCCGAGGCCGCGCCGGCGCCGCCCTCGGCCACCGCCGCCGCCGCGCCGGCCGGCTCCGGGGACGACTGGGGGATGGGAGAGGGAAAAAGATAAACTAAAACATCAGCACCCACGGCACCAGTGTTGCAGGCAGTAACTTTCTCAAGCCCAGCACATCTTCAAACGCCCACAACCTCCTTTCATCCCTCTTCATCAACTCTCTAGCCTGACATCGGTGTCCAGAGTCCCTGATGACTATCTTATAACTAACCTCTGTCCCCGACTGATCTCTCCATTACACACCTCTGTATCCCTGCTCCTGGCTGCGGTGGGTCCGACCGCCCTCGCCGTCAGCTTGCTCTGGGACGTGACCCCTGCTCGGTGCAGCAGCTGGTGCGGCATGTCCAGCTCGGCGTCACCAAGCAGCAGCTGCAGACTGGAGGCCGACAGCTTCAGCTGGGCTGCCACCCGGCTCTTCAGCGACTGCACCGACTCGTTGGTGTGCGCCTGAAAGAAGACATGAGACTCGTGAGGAGTTAGCTAAGAGGAAGACTCAAACACTTTTCGAAGGGTTCAAAGACTGCTCTATGGTTGTGTCCTCTGACCTCTACATCCCAGTAGGTCCTAGCATGCTGTATGTTGATTTTAGACCAGCGCTCTCCTTAGGCTGGGTGTATCAGGTTGCGTTACAGGGCCTGTCTCTGCATCCTCTAGCTCAGTATGACGTTAGTCTCACCTGTATAATAATAGGCTCGGCGCTCTCGTGCTGCACGCTGACGCTGAGTGGCGCGCCCCGAAACGTGGCTCCGTGCGGTACGATGGAGCGTGGCTCCGTGTACAGTCCCTCGATCTTCTCAATGTAGGCGCGCACCAGGCCCAGCAGGCGACTCAGGCCGCGGCGCTCCGGACAACTGCACGAAAAAAGGTCAGCATGGATTTGAAACCTGTACGAAACAGCTTTCAATAAAAGCGGTAAATTACAGCATACCTAAGGCCTGCTGTAACACAGACGTTTATCAATGTTGTACAATTTCCAGAAAAGACAAATCATGCTACTGCTAGCAATTACGAACACAACGTCCCCTGCCAAAGGCACCTTATTTCATAGCCCAGCAGCGCAGCAAAAAACCTCTAGTACCCAGATGATCAAGCCTTTCCCGCACGCCCTGTCCATGACTCCGTCTACTGACCATGTGGAGGCGGCGATAGAGGCGTCGCTGCTGTGTCTCCGGCTGCCGGGCGCCTTACTCGGAGACGAGACGGGCGACTCGGGCGTCACCGGGGCCATCTGGATGTCCACGGCAGAGGAGAACAGCGCTGCACGCCGAGCCTGGGGACATGATAAACGAACGTCGTGTCAAGCTGCTAATCACTTATGGTGTAACATCAGTCATCACTTGATATCCTGGCTGTCTTCTGATGATGTGTTTTAGGCCTAGAATGTGTGGGTCATCGGCACCAAGCCTCCTCTCGCTACATCAGTAGATAAGCGCGCTACAGTCTGCCCCGCTATCATCCGCATCTGACCTACCTCTAGCCGCTCGTAGCACTCGTTGTAGAACTTGTTGTGTAATGAAGCAGGATCGCGCTTCAGCTTGGGCTCCAGGTTGAGGTAGTATATGTTGAGCAGTTCGTCAATGACGGCTCCGGAGATTTCCTCGTCTGCTACTTCAGTCAGCACGCGCCACAGAAAGTCGACGCCGAGCGGCGGCTGGCTACCGATTACCTGATGAAAAAAAAACATCAAAGCACCGTTCAAAGTAAGGCATCTAAAAAAGATGAGGTATCTACCTGCACAGTACACAGTTAAAATGATTTCCATACTAAGCCCATAAAATAAGCCGAACAAAACAGCGAACTTCCGGTCTCATACCCAGATAAATTTGATTATTTGGATCAAGTTCATAAAAAACTCACGATATTGCAGGAGACGCGTCTGAAGAATCCCTTGTCGATGTTGACGCGCTCGAAGTAGATTTTGAAGCAGCGCAGTCCGGCGCTGGTGAGCAGCTCGGGGTCGAGCTGGAGCAGTTTCTCTGTGAAGAAGCGCTGCTGCGTCTCGCGGCCGAGCACGGACACGCAGTCGCTGAACCAGTCCAGACAGATCTAGTGGGCAGTCACACCAGCTGCAGGTCAGGCAAGGGAGAGGAGAGTATGGGGCCGAGATAGAAAACGGGAAAAGTAGGTATGATCCCAGGCGCCTGAGTGATGTGGTAGGGACACACCCAATGGAGAGGTGAAGGGCAAAACGACTCGCGTAGTCAAGGGCATAAAGGTGAGTTCCTGAGCGTCAACAAACGCTGAGACAGTACGATGAGAGCACTACCTGAAGTCGCGACTACCGGTATATACCACTACATCTACATACCGTCATATCAGCAAAACTACGTCAGTTTCTCGTGGAAAACAGTCCCAGCGCCGCGGGGTAGTACCCACCGTTCGGTCGTCGGCGCAGGCGTCGGGATTGTCTAGCAGGGCCGACCAGACGTCGGTGACGCGCTCCCAGGGCAGCGGCACGCGCGAGTCCTTCAGCATGTGCTGCAGCACCTCCAGATGGGTCGACAGGCACTGCGGCATCGGCAGACGGACAGCCATCAGCACTCAGCAATAGTCGCCAGGACAGCATTCTTGACAAGAAAAGAACAAAGAAGCAGCAATGTTGCAAATCTTTGAAAATGGAGACAATTTTGATAAAAAAATAATAATTATACGTATTATAATATGAGTAACGAGCTGCCCGTCAATCGGAACCAGCGAGGTCCAGCAACACAATTCAAGAAGCAAAAAAAAAAAAAATGACGGACTATATATACAATGATCTCACTGTTATCTGGGAAGTAGAGGTGGCAAAATATGGACCCGAGGACCCAGTCCAAAGAACCAGTCTGGGCCTATACCTGGGTATGGGTCCAGAACGGTTCCTGGAAATTTTCTAACGGGTCCAACCGGGTCCTACCATTAACTTTAAATCTTGCACACTACACATTATTGCAAAATATGAAGTGAATGAAGTGAGGTTTCTTTGAAAATGAAACTTCACTTCATTCTTCAAAACAAAACAACCAAACTTCACTTCACTTCAAAGAAAATGAAGTTTCTTTGCACACAGTAGCTCATGAGTATTCCCAGTGGAAAAAAGGCTGTTTTAGATGATGCAACTAATGATACCTACAAATAGTTTGCATTGCATTTAAATTGACTTTTGGGGAACGGGTCCTACTGGTTCCGATTCCAACTTAGACCGGGTCCGACTGGTTCCAGAAATGTCCAGTCGGGTCTGGTTCGAGTCTGGTTCCGATAATTTTCATCTTTTGCCACCTCTACTGGGAAGCGTGGGAAGTGTTTTTTTTTTTTTTTAGAATGAACCAGCAATGCAAGCAAGATTGTCCCAATTTTAACAAGATGCTCCCTCGGAAATCGCACCATTTTCTGAGTGCCTGATGCGTGTTATCTACTCACCTCTCCATGTCTGTACTCGCCGTCATAGAGCACGTCCCTGTTCAGCTCCCCGCCTGCCTCCCGGACTGACATCTGGTGGCAGGCGCTCAAACTGCGCGTGATCAGACGCATGATGTCGTGCTGCCCGTACATCAGCTCACTGTATGACGTCTGTGAGGAAACAGCGAAACATCAGTAGTATGACGCATGGGGGAACTGGCATACGAGTATGTCAGCTCACTTATTGTATAGCTTATTTGGGTAAAACGAAAGTTGACTTAAGCATCACTTCTATGCATCATGCCAAAGACATTAAACGTATCACGTATTGCGGAACATTACTTCGCCAGGCAGATGCAGTTGTTACAGTCTAGCGGCCCAGCTTACCTTGTCGATTTTGATGTAGCTCTTGGTGCCATGTATGATTTTGTCGACGATGTTGTGCAGATGCCGCAGCGCAGGCACCGTCCACGTGTGGTTGGATATATCGTCCACGCATTTAGAAATGTACAGCTTCACCTGTGAGGGGGCGGGGGATAAATACAACGTGTCAGTAACGGTACTTTACGAGCACGCAGACATTAAACTAGTGCTACAGATTCTTACACAGTTATATCATCCAGATTTCACTCAATAAAACATCGCTAACTCTATTACACCAACTGTGCAACGAAGAAACCAAATTGTGAGATAAACCAATGTTCTATTCAACTCCACAAGCAACCATTTCGATGTCACTAACCTATCCACCATGTAGTCCATCATGTCCCTCCCCTCGCTCCGTACCTGTTCGTCTCCGGAGCCCTCGGCCAGAACCTCCGTGTGCAGGTCCATCGCCATCGACACCAGTCGGGAGCCGAGTGCCGGCGCGTGCGCCAGCCGCCAGAGCAGGTCCAGCATCTGCGCCGCCGAGGCGGGGTCGCGCCGCTCGCGGCCGATCCGGCCCACCAACTGGAGCAGACCCTCCTGCTGCCACGGCTTGCCGCCCTCCCAGCTCTGAGAAAAGGAGGGCGGAGTGGTATACCATCTGTAAGCTAGGGACTCTCCACCAGTGAAGGCAGACCCTCCTGCAGCCTACTGTTACGGCTTACCGCCCTCCCAGCTCTGCCAGACGGCGGGCGGCGTGGTAGGTCGTAAGACATGACCAGTTTTCGGGCATTGCACATCTGAGATATTATACAGTCATCATCACTTGGCGAATGTTAAACACATGGTATAGGAGAGCCGCTCAAAACCATACGTTTCTAGAGTCGGACCCCGGCGCGCTCAAAGGCCACCATATAATTCCGCGACATCTTTCACTGTATTTAGTCTGATAATGGAAGTCTGACTGCAACTAACCCGCTCGATGAGACTGATGAGGTGCTGCAGCTGCGGCGGACTGAAGCTGACCGAGGCGGCCGCCATCATACAGTGGATGTTCTCCATCACCTGGGATGTGCAGAATATATAAGGTTAATGCCAGTATGGAAATCAAATTAACTGTGTGTGAATGGTCCAGCATATCAGCAGAGCACGAAAAAAAAACGAAAGCAGCGAGGCATCAGATGGCATGGCACATGTCACAAGCTCAGTGAAATGACGCCGTGCGGTTTACCTGGATAGCGTGTCGGCTCTGCATGGACCAGATCTTGCTGAGGTCGTCCGTGGACAGATGCGGACCCAGAAACTCAATGATCGCCTTGATACGGTCCGTGTACTGCTTCTGATCAATGTTGCCTGTAACGAAATCGGCCCAATCTTACCAATGCCGTGAATAGGATTTGGTAGCACTGGCCGCAGTTCACGGCACTGCTATCAAAGATATCCTTTTTCATTACATCCAGCTTATGTTGTCCAATGATTTTGATAGCGCGAATGATTATGAATGTTGCCTAAACGAAAGAATAAGTGAATGTGGAATAGTTTTGAATGTTACCAAATGCCGTGAATGCGCATTCACGGCATTTGGTAAGAGACAGGATATCAGCGATTCTGCCACGACTTTGATAAAGCAGCGATTCCGTCTGAATCGATATTGAGCAAAAGCAAACGAAGAACACCCAACCAAAGGCACATCACGCTGCGGTCATACGCCTAATAACGAATTGACGCTTCAAAACGAGTCCCCAGCGGCTGGCAGCAGTATTGACCCACCTTCCAGCGCCAGAGAGAGCACGCCCTGTTCGGACATCCAGGCCTGGATCTCCTCGGCTCCCAGGACCCAGCGAGCCGAACGGCGGGTGTCGTCAATTATACGGGATATCTCCTGAGAAACGCAACGGAAAAGCATGAGTTTCACAGCGGAACGGACCAAGGTCAGCTTGGGATGGATGGCAAGGCTGTGTCAAGCTACAATGGCAAAATACATCTTCAAAGCGAGCAGTGGACAGTGAAAAAACAGGAATACAAACTTCAGTGACCGTCTCACACAATTTTTGTGTCACAATTTCACTTATCACCAAAACCAAACACCGACGTCACTGACCTGCAGAGCGTTCATCCTGGTGGAGAAGTTGGGCGTCTTCAGCATGCGGACCAGCATGTTCAGCTGCAGCTCCGTGATCTTGTTCTCGTTCTCCGTCCACAGGTGGCAGCAGAGTCGCTTCAGGGTCATCAGCAGCTCCAGCACCGCCTGCGCGTCCTGGGAATGACACAATACCGGCCGTTTTTACAGAACGTTTCAGACACTTTGAACAAGATATAGGATAGTTTTAGCTGGAAGAGTTTGAGACGACTAAGCAGATATACTGAACAATAAATAAAACACCGAAGTATAGGTACAAAACATCGCTTATTCTACGCCAGCTGCGCAGCTCTATAGCCTGTATCCATCCATGTACAGATTATACAGCATACACGGCACTTTAGACACGGTTATGTCTGCAGTGACTCGGCGGTTACCTTTCCGTTGAGTTTGTTCTCGTCCAGCGCGGTGAGGTAGGACAGCGCCCGCTCCAGAGCGGCCGAGAGCACCGGCTTCACCCTGTCGGCCACCAGCAGCTCGGCACCGCGACCTGTCACGGCGGAGGGGGGGGGGGGGCTGGGTCAACGGCTAGCCGGATGGATGAGTCACTGCACTTGTTTAACGCGGCCATCCCACCTCACCTCCAGTGGAAATGCTAGCAGTTCAGGGCCTCGTCTACAGTCTAATATGTTAGCTAGGAAGGCAATTGCTCCCGTAGTGTACCGCATTGCCCCCATAGTCATCAGCATTTGCCCCCTAGCGAGAAATGGAGCTTCACTAAAAAAAGGCTCCGATAGCAGCAAGTCAACATGCAAGGCTAAAGCAGATGGCGACAGGTCGAGGCGCCAACGACTCAATGCTACAGTCAGACTCAGGCCATTTGACGTTCGAAAATGTTCATTAAATAATTTCGCCCAAATGCGCATGATGCTTGAATCTAGATAGCGATATGTGTAGTTACTCTAGCCCAACTCGTCCGGCTTTTGTTATATCAAATTTAATTCTGTGCCAGTAGTCTTAGCCATTTCAACTCTTTTGAACGACATGAGCCGTTTACACGATCCAGTAAAATGCGAAGCGAATGGTCTCAACTCAACATATAGGTTCTAGCGACTAAGTAGTAGCTTGAATGCAATTAATACCGCAAACCTCGCCAACGCTGCAACGACAGTGGGGCGGGATGCACTTGGTCAGATTCTGATAAGTGACAGATGGGTCACTTTTACAGCTGACAAGCCTTCATAGCATTCAAACTACTGGTCGCTGGGACCCTTATTTTGAGATCAACAGTGCCTAACTAAAGACGTCAGGGAAGTGTCCGTTATGTAATCCACACAAAGTATCTGCACCTTAGGTCTTTATCGACATAAGCTGGTCGATTCGAAACGATAATAAATTTGTCGATTTCCAATTCCTTTTATTCCTACTTCCAGTTAGCAATTCCCACACAGCGCGCTTTAATTCCACGAATTCTGGCGCCGTCGGCACTGACAGGGCTTCACATCTGTTCCGCTTCCCAGTTCTGCTCTTCTGCGCATTTCATTGCCGACAGATACTGCGCAACAGTTGCTGTCGCGCACCGTATGACGGTAGTGGATGCGAACCAAACACCTGTGAGGTGGTATAAAGCGGACCGGGCCAACCACACCTTCATTGGAGACGATTGTTCGTCTGAGGACAACACAGGATTCCTTTTGCATCAGAATGGAGCTGCCACCGCGTCTGCGAGAGGTGGTCTACGTCCTTTGGCTGGTGACGTGCACCGCTGGTTCTGCTGCTGAGCTGGCCTCCGACACCGACGGTACGCCACAACAGGAATCCACGGTACGTGACTGCAGTGATCTGCCCTTCGGCTCTGCTAGTGGAGTATATAACATCCACCCTGACCTTCTGACACCGACCCCGGTCTACTGCGACATGGACGACGGCGAGGGATGGACCGTCTTCCAAAGACGAGCCGACATTCTTCCCAGGCAAGACTTCTACCAGGACTGGGAGGCCTACAAGTGGGGCCTGGGAAGTTTACATGGAGAGTTCTGGTGGGGACTTCACCACCTCTGGCAGCTGACCTCCCAGCTGGACCGCGTTTATGAGTTAAGGGTCGACCTCTGGGATTTTGAAGAGCAGACACGGTACGCCACCTACCAGCAGTTCGCTATCGCGTCCGAGGCCGACGGCTACCGACTGGACTTCGTTAATTCCTCGTACGCCGGGAACGCTGGAGACAGTCTTAGTTACCACAACGAAATGAAGTTCTCCACTTTTGACAGGGACAATGACCTTTCGTCGAGTACCAACTGCTCATCTCACAACAATGGAGCATGGTGGTATAATGCCTGCCAATACGCCAACCTCAACGGACTGTACATTCCGGGGTCAACAGACATATTAAGGTCGGTACGGTGGGCTCGCTGGAGAGATAACTACAGTCTCAACGCCACCACCATGAAGATCAGACCCATAACTACGCTCTAAGCATCCAGAGCTGCAGGCAGCAGACATAATTTTTGTTGGGCTTAACTCTTTCCAGTTTGTTCGGTTTGGCGAAAAGTTAACCAAATTTAGCATCGCACAGCTATTTTGTTCCGCTTTAGGTTGAATATGCATTTCAGAAACCTGCAGTAATTGATGGACAGCCAAGACTGGCGCATACGGCGCCAATACTATTCAGGAAATTAAAACTTCTTAAACTTAGGGATCTTTGACAGCAACAAATGTTACTATTACTGCATGGAAAACTCAATGGGAGCCTGCCAGCTGCTATTGCTTAGCTTTTCGTTACTTCTGAACCTAGTGGTTCAGAAGAAATGTAAGCAAAGTGAAATGTTTAATCGTCCTACTAAACATATTTTGGACGAAGCATTCACATATAGAGTTTACAAAACACATACATAATCATGGGCGGGGCCTAAAGTTTGGAAAAGAATTATGGTACCCTCACTTCGACCAATCTACGGCACCAGCCTCGAAATTTCTTATCAAAAAGCTCTCCAAAGCTTTATTTATAAGCCAGTAAGATTGATTTAATTAAATAATGCAGTGCATGATCAAATGCTTCATGTGATAAAAAGTACGTATGTTTATGTACATAAAAACATCACCCTTACAATCGGGTATTTTTTGCCCGTCTTTCCTTCTCGGTTATATTTCCGCTTTTTTTGCGTTTGTTATATTGCCTTTCAACTTCGTTATGTTGCCTTAATTGCCTTAATTTCTACACCAAACACCTCGGATCTGGTCTCTGTGGGCTATCTGACAAGCCTCTGCTTAGTTGGACGGCCCTACAGAGGCTCAGTAAATGACCCTGCTTGAATCTGACCAGAAATATTGCCTTCAACCATCCTCTATACCTGTATGACTGCTCCCTCTCAGATGTCTTCCTCCCACTAACATTTCCCTGTGAGAGTGTGCATCAGGGGGCGTTCCAGGGCCAGGGGTGTAGGAGGGTGCAGTCACTGACTGTTTGTTGCTGTGACTACTTTGTAGCTCTTATGGCATTTTATCAAATGCCAGGCTCCCACATTAAACAAGTTAATGAATTGGCATTAAAGTGATGTACCGTGGTTGAGAAAGAGCGAAAATGAATATCTACCAAGATTTCAACGAAAAATATTCAGGAGTTTTTGAAATATTAGACGTTTATTTGTGCTAGATTTGGGGGCCTCCGCTGTTCCAATGACGTAATTTGGAGGCAATAATTTGGTATCTTAGAAGTACGACAGATGTTGCGCGCAAGGCAGCTGCGTATACCCCCACAGCAATAATTGTCTTTTCTTTTACCAAGGTTTCAGTATAATATTTAAAAATCGCTAGATCTGCGCTGAAATCACATAGTCTAAGGGGGCATTCAAGTGTATAAGCCCCCTTATAATCCGAAAACTGCAGACTCTGAAATCAAATATCTTCGAATTGAAGCATTGATTGATGTTGTAAGTGCCCAAACCGGGCGGTACTTGCAGGCCAGGGACCCCAAGTTGGCTATCTCAGCTCAAAGCTGATGTGCTACGGTGGGATGGTCACTTTAACATCATGCTTATTCCACATATATTTGCCTTCTTTTGTTTTTCCCTTACCCTTAGCTGGGAGTGCAGCGACTTTCTGATGTTTAACCTGTGGTTCTGTGTATAGCTGGGATACAGAAAGGGGGCACTCCTCTCCTGGTCACCTGTTCGTGGGTGGCGGTATACGAAAAATGTTTTCAGTGGGTTGATTCCGTAATTTGGATGTTAAATCGAATCTGTTTCAGGAATAAACTGAAAATATTCGCGTGTGTTTTTTATTGAAATATTTATCCTTTATGTATATGTGTGTTATAGTTCATTTTTTCTGAGATGTCTTTAGGCCTCAGAACATTCCAAATCACTGACAATGGGAGAATCCGACATTACAGGATGGCATGGTGGAAATGTTAGTCTCTAGCACATGTTATGCTTACCCACACATAAGAAAATGGACGCATCAAAACCTGAGCTCATGGACCTTGGTACACGAAACTGGTTACACAACCCTCCCATTTCACACTCGCGTTTTAATCAGCACCCCTCAAATTAAAAAAGGATAAATCGGACTGATAGCCGTCTTTCAATTTGGACCGACACGACGAGGCCCTGGTGAACAGTTGGACTTCGGACGAACACAAACTAACCAAGCAGGTGTGCTACTGCAGCTGGGAAAGACTGCCATAACAACAAACTAATTGCGTTCACGGAACTCTGTTTTGAGCGTAACAAGCAGTTACCTCTACCTTTCATTTCCCATTTATCTGCGCTCCTCTCAACCCAGCCAGTCCCTGACGTACCGACGGGCGCCAGGAGTGCGGCCATCTCTGCCGGCGTCAGCTCCTCACGCTGAAAGCACTGCTCGATCTGCGCGAACCCGCCCTGGTACCCGAAGTAGTTGATGAGATCCACCAGCCAGCCGTAGGTGCCGCTCTGCGGACACAGGCGGAGGTTCAGGTTCACAAAACGGATCACAGATGGGGACACTGACACAAAATACGGTGACATTAACACTTCACTACGTGTGCTGCGATTTTATCTCGGTGCTAAGTTATCCAAAGTTCGATCTTAAGAAGCAGATGACAGGTGAGAGAAAAGATTTCCGCTGACTTTATTAAAGTCGACGGCCTTAATGTGATTGACGCTAAAAATAGTACCAGCTCATACCTTAACGTGAAAAGACGAGGCGTAGTCTTTATCCACGTCTGTGCCGGAGCGAATCGACGGGTGTTTAGACTTGTTCTTCTGATTCCAAGCCGTCTCGCAGTCAAACGTCTGCACAGTCAGGAACATAATCAGGTTCAGTGTGTCTCCGATAACCACAGGCACGCCCGTCCCACTTATTAGCCCGACTGTAAGCGCTGCCATAAACATCAAGGGTCTGAGTAAACAAACCATTCTGTCTCAGCTTCGGTCCGCTGGTATGCAATGTAAGCTTCAAAGCTTGCTTAATCATGTGCATAACCTCCCAGCGAATAGTTCTACTACCTACTAGAAATGTGTCCAAGCATAAGCGGAAACGTTCAAACAACTGGCCTATCGATGGTTCAGTTATCGGCATCAGTGTGAACACCGATGCAATAACCTGCCCCCCCCCCCCCCCTTCCCCATATTCCTAGACGAGCCCCGATAGGCGACAAGCCGTCTAAGCCCATTGTTAACTGCCACTTCAAGAAGTGCCAAAACCGTTGCGATACGATACCACGGTCACCAGATGCCCCGAGCCCAACGGTCGGCTCCGCCCGCTTTTACCGCATGTACCGAACTGGCGTAGACGTATACTGGGTAATAGTGCTCGGGTGCTATCAGAAAAGAACACGCCCAGCATACCGTGTGCTGGTAAAATCGAGATTACCGAGGATTTGTTGCAGACTCAAATATCACAGATAAAAGATACGAGATCTTGTTGACATAACAAACTACCCCGAAAGATTCCACCCTGATGATGGTGCAGCCGGCGATTCTCATACATCATGACCGACCCTAGAATATGGGGGATGACAACCCTTCCCGCACTGGCCGACAAACGTCAACTGCGCTTATCGATGCCAGGATGAGGAGACTTCCCCGAGTTTGGCCCGCACTGAACCCGACCCTTCCCCGCACCGACAGACAATGCCCATTTCCGTTCCGACCCGTTCACCCCCCTCACTGACCGGCGCCAGGATGTGATTCAGCCAGTCGCAGGGGACCGGCGGGTGCGGCATCCTGGCCAGTAGCAGATCCACGAATAGCTCCAGCATCGTGACAATGCCCTGGTGGATCTCCAGACTCCACGAGTAGACGGCGCTGTTGGTCAGCAGCTTCTTGAACGAGTCCATCATGACCCGTTCGGTGAAGCGGCGGCAGTTGTCGTCGGCCTCCACCAGACCTGGCGGCGGAGTGGCAGAGGCGGTGGAGTGGGGACAGAGACTGTCAGATCTGGGGTCGGGTCAGATGGGTGGGCGGGGATAACATGAGTTGAAATGGGAGACAGCGGGTCAGAGGGTCCGGAAGGGGTACCTAATGACTTGACTAGACCTGAGGGCAGGGGCAAAGGGACAAGGTAAGCATAGCGTATCGACCAAGACATCTTAAGGGCAAAACAAGTTACTTTGAAGAATGTAGAATACAGAGTATTGCGTACCAGCTGCGCGGCGCCAGCGGCCGGACGCGCGCGGGCTCGCTCCCCACCCCGTGTCATCGAGTGCGATTCTTACCTCATCCGTGTGGGTCAGAGTGTGGTAGATTGAACGAGTGAGTGAGACATTCAGTTGACTGTGGCGTGTGACGGTCTCAGAGACTAGTGTGCCCGAATTACGACAAAAGACCGGGTTATACCGGAGTGGGCCAGGAGACGGAGTGAGAGAGACCTTGGACACCGAAGGAGACGAGGAGAGAGAGAGGAGAGGAGAAGAAACTCACCGAGTCGTGCCTGGTGCGAGCAACATCGTTTACGAGCAACTGTTTGAATATTTCACTTCGCATCATCTATTTACCCCGCATCAGCACGGGTTTAGAACCGGGTTCTCCACGGAGACCGCCCTGCTGACGATGACGGACCGTGTGTTCGAGGCGATGGACCGGCGGCAGGTAGCGCTACTGTGCCTATTAGACCTATCGAAGTGCTTCGATGTCATCCCCCACGACAGGCTGCTGATCAAGCTAGAGCAGTATGGTGTCGACACGAGATGGTTCGCGAGCTACCTATCTGATCATTACCAGCAAGTGCTGATCCGCTCGCAGAACGGTCGCAGTGTGCTCTCGCGATCAATTCTGAATCCTATTGGTACCTATCAGGGATCGGCCCTCGGGCCCCTTCTTTTCAACATATATGCGACTGACATGTCTCTGTACCTTCCCGACTGCGCCAATCATGACAGGTGTCTGGTACAGTATGCGGACGACACACAGTTGGCGGTGATGGGAAGCCCTCGTGATGCAGCAGCGATAGTTCAGAGTCTAGAACAGGATTTAGCGGCTCTTTCAGTCTGGTTCCAGAAAAACGGTTTAAAAGTGAACGCTAACAAAACGCAACTAATAACATTGGGTACCAAGCAAAATCTCCGTCAGTTACCGCCAATAGAAGTTGAATTTATGGGTGCTAAGGTTACGGGATCCCTCACTATTCGAAACTTGGGGGTCACGTTTGATCAGAGTCTGTCTTTCTCAGATCACGTGACCGATGTCGTACGGCGTGGCACTGGTATCCTGAGCGGTTTAGGCCACAGTAGACACTCGCTGCCCAGGGACACACTGACAATACTGGTGCAGGCTCTGGCGGTGTCTATTGTCCGGTATTGTATCAGTGTCTATGGCTGCTGCGGTGTGACCCAGCTGTCCAGAGTTCAGAAGCTACTGAACTTCGGTGCTCGGGTGGTGTCTGGCCGACGTAGGTATGACCATGTCAGCGATGTCATGAAGACCCTGAAGTGGCTCTCTGCTGAGAACTTGTGGCGGTTTCATTCGGTGACTCTGCTCAAGAGAATGCTAGCTACGGGACAGCCTGAGTCGCTGCGTGAAGGCATTGTTACCCGCCGCAGTGTTCATGGTAGGGACACCCGCCAAGCTGACTTTTTCGAGACCCCAGCGATCCGCACAGAGTCAGGCCGCCGACGGTTTCTTTATTCAGCCGTGACAACATACAACTCACTGCCACCAGCCGTGCAAGGCCTGGGGCCGCGGCAGTTCAAAGCCCAGTACCGAGCACTGCTACTCCGAGAGCAGTATGGCGATGAGGACCCGTGAGTGTGTTTTGTATGCGTGTGCTAAGAGCGAATGTTTTATCCATCACATCTTCCAAATGACATGACGCCCGGAATAGCCGTTCTCGAATGGATGGGTTTGTCGCGACGTGAAATAAATAAATAAATAAATAAATAAATAAATAAAAGCAAAGAAGAAACAGACAGCAGAAGCTCGACGAACTGACCTTCCTTGGCGAGCCGGGTGGCGGCCAGCAGACACCTGCCGAGTGACTCCTCGCGTTTGTACGGGATCGACCACTGGTCCTTGCCGACGCGGCGCTCCAGCTGCAGTAGTTCGTCGTACGGAAACACCAGCGAGTTCTCCTCCTGCAGGAGTGTGGAACAGAATATCAAATTAGAACAGGAATGGAAATAAAAGAACGGAGGAAAACAGCTGGATCTTAGTGAACATTCTAATCCATGATAATATAAAATCGAGTCTAATAAAACACTGAGTACTTAGAAAAGCTTTATAGTTATTTTAGTCATCGATCAAAAAACATACTGATAATAGAGCATCTCAAGTGAACAAAAACTAGGTACGCATGCCGAATGAGTTCCACACAACGGCTGTACTCATTGTTCAATAAAAGAAAAATCCAGCAAAACTAGTTTAGCCAATACTGACCTCCCCAGTTGACATCTGCTGATCCTCCGATTTATCACCGTCCGCGAAATTGGTCGGTCCGGGCAGCGCCAGTGCTCGCGACGACGTGGGATACATGTTACTCTTGAAGTTCTCGTCTGTCAGGAACACCACCGCCTCGGAGATGTCGTTCTTGGCCATCCGCAGCGCGGCGCGAACTTCATCCTCGTCGGGAAAGCCCATGTCCATCAGCATCTTCACGTTGTCTTCCTCGTCCGTCTCCATGGCGGCGGCTCGACGCTTCAGAGCGAGTGTGAAGCGGCAAATCAAAGGGAGTCACTACGCTCCTTTGTCAGTGGGGCATCCTTTGATCCTTCTCTTGTGAACGCTGTCCCTGCAAAATCATGAATTAGAAAATTTGTAGGTAAATTTTATCAGTTAATTGCTTTGCATTTAATTTACCTAAAAGCATACCCAAACCCAGCCAGAAATTCGGTTTGGCTCAAGACCCTTTTGCCCCAGCAACTCCGTCATGCCAGATTTGGACCAGTGTAAACGGAATGCCGTCGGAACAGGAGGTTTGGGTCGACATGGCTCCATTGAGTCCATTCTAGCCAGTCTTTGCCGTAGCGCTCTAGAGTTGGTATGGCTTAGGACCGCCAAGTCCGCCGCAAGACCGGCTCCCAGCCACGGCGTCCTACAGCCAGGTCCGGCTACCTCGTAGCTGCTCTGGCTTACTGTGGCTGAATTGCGGTTGAGGTATGGTACGGCTAAAGAGGCATAAGTCCAGCTATGGTTCGGGCGAGCTCTGGGATCGTGTGTCAGCTCCAGTAGAGCCCCAGACCTTGCCCGTACTTCGGCCGAAGCAAGTGCCAGAGCTAGCCACAATAAAACCAGATATGGCCCAGACCAATTTTGCTGGCTGGCTGCTGGGTACTAACCTAACCTATCAAAAATTATCCAAACTTAATTAAACAAAACCAAATCTAACCTTGCCTAACATGTTAGGTGAAATATTGATAGGCTAGGTTTTGATATGTTAGGTTTGGGTTAGTTAGATAACCTAGGTTTGATTAGGTTTGGTTATGTTTCAGCAGCAGCCCGACAGGATCTAAGCACTTGAACCTGCTGTCTCACCACAAAGCTACAAATCTGGCATCATGCAGCTATCCCATTCTGCAAGTGAGATGCAATTTAAACCAACAATCTCAAAATGTAGCTGGCTACAACTCAAAATCTCAAATTGGAGTCTGAAAATCGGCAAAACGCACAGTAATTTCTCGCCACCAGTGGGATTCAGATTCAAACCTGCAATCTCCATATTGACATAGAGCTAAAACATTGGTAGGCATCACACATGATCATTCTGCTCCACCAGCCAGATTCCGCTCATCAATCAAATACACTATATCAATAGTACCTACAAGGTGTGCCAGAATTACCAAACATTTATTTTCTGACCAAAAGTATAATTGTGCTCGATTCTAATGAGAATGACATACAAGCATGACAATTTTCCAAGACGTCCCTTAGCTATTGAGCTTGGACTGCATGCTTTCGGTGACCAGTCACGACTCGAGTCAACTATTATCCTGAGTCAGAAAAGAGTAGTCCCTTTTCATTTTTAGCCTCAGCAGCCAAAAAGTAATCATGGTAAAAGAAGTGCAATTCTGAAATTCGTCAACAGACTCTTGGCATGGTTCTTGCTGGAGAGCTCCAGCAGCTCATTTGCAAGCAGGCAGGGGGGGGTTGAGCAAATCACAGTTAAATCAGCGAGCGAAGCCAGAGAGAGCAGGAGATAACATGGTTGACAAGCCTGGGTGGGGCCAAAACAAACCGAGAAAACAAACAAACAAAACAGAGCACACACTGCAGTTGTCAAGCTGGTGGTTCCAATGACATGGTCAGCAAATGTCACAGATCTACCTGCAAGCTAGCTATACGACTGACCAGGACTAGCTACAAAACATCAGTCTTCTTTTCAGCACTATCTTTGACAAAATTTTAGAATTTGGGGCCTCTAGAATGAGAAATAGGCTGGTTGTAACGAAAAAGCAGCGCAAATCGCTGCAAGTCAGCCAAAAATCATATTATTTTCAACAAAAAGTGAAATAAGACACAGTTTGTGGTCTTCCAATTGAGGTATTTTGCTGGCCTTTGAACCACCAAAAAGGTCATGCCTCATGTGTGGATGTCAGATGGCGACAACGCCCCAACAGGGCAGTGGCCAGGCATCTGTCAAAAATCAGTGAGACATTTTGAGCCACGGTGCACTCATCCAGCTTCATGTGACACTCCAAACATGGCTGTTAACAAAGAGTATCACTGTGGTAATATTCTAGCATTACAAGAGCTAAATGTCGTGAGCCCAACGTTCATGAACGGATTTGTTTTGGAAACCAAATCTGTTGGAAGCCAAAGGTCGGGCCATATTCAGGCATAGAGGTTCTTCACTTTAGATGTCAAAAACAACTCAACAGTGGTCGATGAAGGCCGAAATTTTTGCTTTTGGGGAGAGTGCCTTGTCAGCTGGAAAGTTAAGATAAAAATTTAATCGAAAATATTTCTAATATGCTTCAGCGAGAGGCCAATGAAAACCATCCAACAACCAGTTTCGGGAGACTCATAAAACACATCTTAATTGCAAGTGCTACTTCGTAGCCACCCTAGTTGGTCTGTTGACTACCTATATAGAACAGTACCTAAAAAGAAAAAAGTGCAATTATTTGTTCCTTATCTTTCTTATTATTTTTCCTGATTAAGTGTTTGCTCAATTCTGAGACACCCTGTACGTTTGACTATGAAACAGGAGACCACCCCGAGGCCACAGCCCGAAACACTGTCACTGTCTTTCGCTGTTTAGGTATTGCAGCGCAGGCAATGCGACGCCTGCTCTATGACTTCGTGATTTTCACCCAAAGAACAACTATAATATTTTAACTGAATTTGTGAACCTGATGACAGCAGTGCTCGAATTGGATTTAAATTGTTTTAGCCCCGCCCCCTCACGCACTAGCAGCACCGGCATCACGCCTAGTCCCAGACCACGAGAAGATCAGGAAACAAACAAATCCCCTACACGCAAAAATTACATTTGACTCAACCAATTACACCGAACGCTTACCTGGATATTCTTAAGCCACACAGGACCTGTAACCAACCATTTAATTATTTATTTAACCAGCACCTTTACATGCTTCCGCGATGTGGGAGAGGCACTGAACGCATTTGTAGACATAAACTGCGCAAGAGTTGCATACACGATGTTTCAAGAGGATTAATTATAAAAATAATATTATCATCATTTTCAAGTAAATTTGAATAAAAAAACAAAATAAAACAAAATAAAAGAAAATAAAAGAAAACAAATAACATCTTTGTAGATTTTAAAACATTGAGTAAAGCAAAATTAAAATATTCTTGATTAAGGGAAGCTGCCCCTAAAATAATAACTGGGTTTACATAGCATATTTGACGAGGCTCTAGCTCGTTGATTTGGCGATAATTTCGATGCAGTGGTCTTCAGATATTTAGAGGGGATCATTTTGTAAATTGTTAAGCACCATTGGCATCTTTTGCAACATCACGGGCGGAGATATAAGCTTGCAGCAAACCCCATGTAAACCCGTCTAATAAATCAGCCACCCGCCGGCCGCTGGGGGCATATAGGCGGCGGAACGGGGAGGGCACCGGGGCACCGTGGCCCCCTTTGATTTGGGTATTTTAACATTAGCCCTATGAGCGTTGCATGGAAAGAATGGGATCAAAAGTCGTCAGTGCCCCTCCCCCCCCTTTACTTCTGCGACGATATCCATGTAGGCGGCGGAACGGGGAGGGCACCGGGGCAATGGGCAATGGGCATCGTGCCCCCTTTGATTTTGGCTTTTTTACATTAGCGCTATAGGCGTTGCATGGAAAGAATGGAACCAAAAGTCGGCAGTGCCCCCCCCCCCCTTAACCCTAGAACGCCTAGGGGGGGGGGGGGGTTGTATCAACCCCCCCCCCCCCCTGAGGTTTTTTCGAAGTGCACGCTAAACGGCTTGTCGTAGCGGGCTGAAATTTTCAACACCCTCTGGGGCAACCTTTGCGCATCTTTTGCCGAAAAAAAAATTGATCGGGTCATATCAGGTCACGGAGTTATGACGTCATAAGAGGTACAGCCTCCGGCCGACAGTTACCAAACGTGTGCGCCGAATCCCTAGGTTTTCTGCCGGTGATACCCACATTGTTTGATGTATCATGATGAAACTTCCCATGCATGTTGGGGCAAGCATTGGCTATCGTGTGGTGCAAGAAAATTGACCGGGTCAGGTCAGGTCACGGAGTTATGACGTCATAAGAGGTACAGCCTCCGGCCGGATTTTCACGAAGTGTGTACCGAGTCCCGAGGTTTTCTGCTGATGCTATCCACATTGCAGTGGATATCCACATATCTTTTCTGAGTCGTTACCTACAGTATTTATAGCGGAGCAGTGGTCAACAGCCGACGAATCGGGACAAACACCGGAGGGTGATGTGACACCATATCACTCATCAGCAATAGGCCTCTTACTTTTATAGGGTAAATACACCAAAAACACCATATATGATGCAGAATTGAGTGGGGAATACGTTGTTGAAGGTTTGAAGTTAATATCTCCCACCGTTTTGCCGCAATCGTTGCGCAAAGTTGAAAAAGTTTGATTTTTTCGGAAAATTTGACCTTTGACCGGTCATAAGTAGGTCAAATGTTGACCTAGGACCAAAAAATATACCACCAATCGCGAGATCTCGTTGAGAGCAATCCGTTGGTTTTTTCCGCTAAGCTCTACGACCTTCCGTTTCGAAACGCCAGGGGGGGGTCGTAACAACCCCCCCCCCCTGGTCGTTCGTGTTATGAGAAATGGCCTGGTCGTGCGAGGGTTAATTGAAGGTGTTCCGCCGCTACTGACGATATCGTCGCAACGCGAAGAGATAGAGAAACGAAACTTTGCACACTTCATTTCTGAATACCTAGCCAAGATTTTGTCCAAATTTGGTGTCGATCCCATTTGAAATGACGTCAAAGTGACGTCAGAAGTCAACTTATAGATTTGCGACACTCAGTTTCATCATGATATATCCGATCAGAGGCGGATCCAGCTCAGAGTTTTGGGGGAGCAAACCATAACAATTTATCGATTCTTTCCATGCCTCGTCCATAGGCGTAATGTTAAAATTATGCCGTTTGGGGGGGGGGGGGGCAAATGCCCATTTTGCCCCCCCCCCCCTGGATCCGCCGCTGTATCTGATTTATGAGACCGACTATAAAGGCCCATTGGTCAGGAACTAGTTGGAAAAGTACTTAGATGTTTTAGGATGACAGCAGGTGCTGTCTAGTTCATTTACAGTTGAGTTTCATGCTCAGCGACATCAGAAAAGGTCCATATCGGCAAACGACAAAACTTTATGACGTCACTGTTGTGCCGGCTGCTTAGATGTAGGCAGCCGGATAAGTGTCACGTGAATATGTCACGTTCTGTGTTATTTGTGTTGTGTGTGATAGTGAGCGAAAAATACAGATTAGCATCACGCCACATGGTGTCAGAAGTGGGGTATCTTATTTGTAAATATTTTGTATTTTTTCACATAGACCTGAAATGATTAACTTTCGATTGGAACAAAATATCTGATATACTTTCATGCAATCACTGCTATGGCCAACTTGCCTCTGCCAGGTCCGTTAAAACTGAGACAAAACCACGATAATTTAGACACAACATGGAAGCTATGGCATCGACAGTGGAAAAACTACTCCATTGCCACAGGCTTACAAGAGAAGCCAGATGAGGTACAGGTTGCCACATTCCTGACGTGCATCGGTCCGGAGGCTCTGCTGATATTGGATGGTCTGTGCACAAGTGAAGAAGAACAGGCATCCGTGTCTTCGGTCGTAGCAAAGTTCCAAGCCTACTGCGTGGTCAAACCAAACGAAACGTACGAACGGTACAAGTTTAACATACGTAAGCAAGAAAACCAGGAGAAGGTGGACGAGTACGTTACAAGCCTGAGACAACTAGCAAAAACATGCAACTTTGGATCCCTGGAGGAAAGTCTAATCCGAGACCGGGTGATTATCGGTATACAAGACGACAACGTCAGACGAAGGCTTCTACAAGAAAATGAGTTGACATTGAACCAAGCGATGCAGACCATAAGAGCTCATGAGACAGCATCTGATCAGATGAAGGCGATGACTCAGAAGACTCAGCAAGAGACACAACCTTGCTTCACACCAAGTGCCGACCTTCATGGGTAGAGGAAGAGGTCAACAACGGAGAATAACTCCAACCATTGGATGGTGCAAATACTGTGGGACAAAACACACGTTCAAAAAAGAACAGTGCCCAGCCTGGGGAAAGACCTGTCAGATCTGTGGTCGCCTGAACCATGTCGCCGCAAAGTGTAGACGAGCCCGTGTAGAGATGTTGGACATGGCTGACTCATACGTACCGAATGGTATGGAGTGCGATGAACCAAGCTCTGCACAAGAAACACACCTTAACTCATTTGGTGTTGAGATTCAAACAGCAACTCAACAGGGAGAGCAAACTAATCTGTTAGAAGAGACGAGTCACATTCTGCATGTGAGCACCGGTGCAATGTCACAGCCACGGAGCGGCAAGATACATGCTCACTTGATGATAGGCAACAATCATATTGAGCGGTTTCAGCTCGACACTGGAGCCGGTGTCAATGTGATACCCCAGCACGTCTACAAGAAGGCATGCGATGACCCCCTCCTAAAGAAGCTTCAGCCATGTCAGATGTCGCTTGTCATGTACAATGGATCGACCAGTGCGGTGAAGGGGCGATGCAAACTGACGGTGACGAACCCCATGACGATGAAGGAGTATCAGGTGGAATTCTTTGTAGTACCACAAGACTATACTCCATTATTAGGGGTCAGTGCTGTACAGGACTTGGAACTCATCAATGTCAACCACGCCAACATCATGACCGTGCATCAAGCCAGTAACGTGACCACGGGAGGAGCCGCCGGAGAAAAAGAGGCACTCGTCGCCGAATACAAGGATGTTTTCACCGGGACAGGCCGATTCCGAGAGAAACTGAAGCTTGAAGTAGTTCCAGAGGCTAAACAGCATCAGGCGGCGACGAGGTCAGTTCCAGTGGCACTGGAAGACAGCCTCAAACAGGAGCTGGATCGTCTTACCAGTGAAGGCATCATCACACCTGTGGAAGTGCCCACTGACTGGGTGTCTGCCTTAGTCGTAGTGAAGAAGCCGAATGGCAGCCTTCGACTCTGCTTGGATCCCAAACCGCTGAACAAAGAGCTGAAAAGAAACAAGTACCCGATTCCGACAGTTGATGACCTGACGTGCCGACTGGAGAAGGCAAAGGTGTTCACTGTTTGCGACGCAAAAAACGGATATTGGCACGTCGAACTCGAAGAAGAAAGTAGCTTCTTGACTACATTTGGAACACCCTGGGGACGGTATAGATGGAACCGCCTACCATTTGGTATAGCCGTGGCATCAGAAGAATTTCAAAGAAGGCTAAACCAAGAGCTAGAAGGTCTAGATGGCATAAAGGCTATTGCCGACGACATTCTGATCTACGGAGAAGGCGACACATACGAAGAGGCTGTCACAGATCATGACAGGAAACTGAAAGCTCTACTAGAAAGATGTAGAGAAAGAGGTATAAGATTGAACATGAACAAGATGAAGCTGAAACAAAAACAAGTAGCCTACATGGGTCACCTATTCACGGATCGAGGTCTACAAGTTGACCCAGAGAAGACGCGTGCTATCCAATCCATGCCAGCCCCAAAAGATAAGAAAGGTGTGCAGAGGCTGCTGGGAATGGTCAACTATCTTCAAAAGTTTTCCCCAAACCTGTCGAAAGTAGCAGCACCACTCCGTCAGCTTCTGAAGGATGATGCACCTTTCCTTTTTGACGACTGCATCCACGGCGAGGCTCTACGAGCCATAAAGAAGCTGATCGTCGAGGCACCTGTTCTGAAATACTTCAGTACCAAAGACGAAACTAGTCTCCAGGTGGACGCGTCTCAAGAGGGGCTTGGTGCGTGTCTAATGCAATGCGGTCAGCCAGTCGCCTATGCCTCTCGAACGCTCACCAACGCTGAGAGACACTATGCCCAAATCGAAAAAGAAATGCTCGCGATTGTCTACGGACTGAACAAGTTCGAACGGTACACCTTGGGAAGAGAGGTGACGATACAGTCGGACCACAA